TGTGAAGTACATGTATCTACCTACATGTACATGTACGTTGCACATGTAAGTTGCACAGCTGAAGTCTATGATACACGTGCCTACATTGTAAGTGTACCACTGCACTGAACATAAATGTATACATGAAGTAAAACATGTTCTGTTCCACACAGAGGTAAAGAACAGCCCAGTAGCATACCGCCGTACATGTGGCGGTATTTTTCCAACCGTGTACATGTACGTACAGTCCAAAAGACGGCATGTTAATAATGTGCACGTGTGCAATATCTGAACATAATGCAACCTACATGTACACGCTACACAAACCAAAACTAATATACATGTACCATGTACATACATGCGTGTACATGTGTCAAAACATGAATCTGAATGTGCACGAATATTTGTAATACGTGTATTTCCCAGACATGCCGGATGGGAAACCCTAAATTTATCCTACATAAAGCCTTACTATATCTCTAAATTATGGTACGGTTAACTTGAACATGCACAAGCAATTGTAACTTGCACAACATAACGTTACACGTACCGGCACGTGTTTGTATAACGTGTAAAGTGAAGGAAGAATGTTGTACATACATGTACATCGTACCGGGGGGGGGGTACGTACATGTACAAATGTACATCTAAATCTCTGCTCTCAATTTGAAGATTTCACAATGACCTTTCCGGCTTGCTTCCAGTTACAGTGCAATGCACTTCTTGGATTACTCATGGACTACACACAAACACATATCAGGACATCTACAATACCCTCCAGGCCCTTTTTTATGTTAATGTATACATTTTTTTCCCCTCTACTACTAAGAAGGCACTCTTCAGTTTCCAAAGTGTGCACACTGTACAGTGTATATGTACATGTACATGTACATGTACATGTATGTACGTGTACATATGTGTACATTGTACATGTCACAAGTTTAGGGCCAGGGAAAGAAACCCACATGTACATGTACATGTATTACCAGTACATGTGTAGTTTCTCTGAAAGACATAAGGAACTTGATCAGAATTTGCACGATTGATTAAAAGCCAGCTACATGTGTACTGGCACAAGTACCAGTGAGCCTTCTGGGTACAAACATCTACATCTTACCCCTTATGGTAAAAAAAACCAAACACATACAGTAGGCCATGTGCTTACTACGCATGCACATGCACATCACAGAACACTGTCCAGGACTCATGCACATGTACACATGACATCCAATGCAATACAAGTGCACACATGTACACCAACTAGAATTTCTCTTCTGTTACACAGTTGTGGCGGGGATTGCTAGATTCTTTTCTCCTTCCTCTGGTAATGTGTCTGGGGACTGACTGCCTGAGTACATTGTAGATGATTGATGGCCTTAGGCACGTGTGCATCTCATTACTGTAATGTGCATCGTCTACTGGCGTTGGTGTTTGCATGAAAAAACAGAATGAAGAAAGGGGAAAAAAATCGGAGAGAGCACATGTACTAAATTGGAACGACTTTAATAAACCAGCATGCTTTTTGGAGAGTGCAACTGTGGAAAGAATTCATTTCTTTTGAACTGAAAAATCATTTCTAAAAGCATTAGATGTAAACTGATGACTTTTCTAATCACGCTTTCACGGCTTTAGTCAATGATGCGTAACAGGTAAGGAAATGTTCAAGTTTTGAACTCCAAGCATCTCTCTAATGCCTTTGTGCTTACTCATGTACATGTACACTAACAAAACGTAACTCAGTGGCACCAAACGCATGTGCGTGTACATGCGTTTATGTGACCGGCTCTAGAAAAATGGGTAATAAGTCACCAGATTCAGGTTGTCAGTTTTTTATATGGCTGGACTGAGTACATCAAAAACTACAATTTGATTTATGAATGACCCTTGTAGTGCGCTGCGTTCCAGAGATATTTAGACATTTGTATATATCCACATTTTCTGATTCAATAAAAGCTTTTTTCAGGAAAAAGTTCAAAAAGTGTAGCACTTGGAAACACAATGCTATGTAGGATTTCCTACTGAATGATCCATTTTTCATCTTTATTCATCAGTATCCATGTTTGTAGTCACAAATTCTGAAAACATAAATGTTATACAAGCTAATAGAGGAAAAAACACAAAATCACAGTTTTGAAGACATTTTGCCCTCTCCAAATAGAAGAGGCCATCACATATTTTGGAACTGCGCGACTTATTACCCTTTTTTGCAGAGCGGGTCACATACATGTACATGTACAGTGTACATGTACTTGCATGTGCTCTCACAGCGTCTCGGCAGGGAAATTCATGTGGCGGAGTTTATGGCAAAGGGGCAGGCTCTGATGAGTTTATACATACATGTACATGTACATGCATTGTACTGTTCCTAAATCATTATGTACAACGTACATGTAATGTGCATATGTACAGGTGTACCTGTACCATAACACCAACATGGTTTTACTTGAAGCTCAACGGTGCTGGCTCATAAATATTCATAATAGCTGGCAAGGTGTTGGAATGCAGCAGGCAAGAGTTGAAACTTGTGCAATAATCACAGCTGCGTGCGCAATCACTGAACACTTGCACAGACACAAGTCTGTATTATGACATGCTAAAGATCAATATCAGGGGATTGAGATATGTACATGTACATTGTACCCGATATGTGTACATGTACACCAAATGGTTGATCAATATTGCTAAAAGCACACAGTACATTGTAAGCATGATTTTGTATGGCATATTGCATGTACTGGTACCACATGTACATGTACATGGTCAATCTTAGTGCACACATTTGGACATGTTTATGCACATACCAATATAGAGTACATGTACATGTACATGTATGTGTACACCCATGTACATGTACTTGAATGTGACAGTTCTGAACATGTTCCCACAATCTACAGTTGTACATGGACGGGTATCTTATTCTATCTAATCTGTTCAATAGGGTGGTGCCAGACTATTAGGGGTTCCTTCACCTTCCATCTCTGCAGCCCAGGTTCGAATCCTGGCCCGGTCTACATGTGGATTGGGTTTTCAGTCCCTACCTGATTCTGTGGGTTTTACCCAGAATATTCCTCTGGGGTTTTCCTCCCACCTCTACAACTGTAACTGCTTCTCACTGTCTCCTCTCTACAGGTTTCTTTAAGGCTCGCTACACATATACCAGTACCTTGAAGTGCCTAGGATTCTCCGTTGAAGAATCCTTGGTGCCATTACCAGAAATTCTATAATAAAATTACAATAATGAAAACAACAATTTTGGCGATGACCACTTGTAATAAGCCATTTGAGAGTTAAATTTCAATAAAATCTGGTACACCGAGTCCTTTAAATTCACATGAACATTTAACAACTTGAATTCTCCATACTAAAACCACTGTTGCTATACCTCGTAATTCAAGGCAAGCTTTTGCTTACAACTACACATGTAGTTACAGTGTGTACGGTACATAAGAGATGCCTTCCAACAATACACTGTTCTCAATGGAGAAGGACGGCACCAAGGAACCAATCCATTCCAGAGATGGTGGTTGCTATGCAAAAGCTTGCCCAGAATCACGAAGTACATGTATAGCAACAATGTCTTTAGTCTGGGGAATTCAAATCATTATGTTTATGTGCAATCAGGTAACACAGTGTACATGTACGAGATTTCATTCAAATTGAACTCGCAAGAGGCTTACTGGCTCTTGGCTTTCACATGTTGTTACGATATCAGGCTAGAATTTTCAAAGAAAACAGAACAACTTCTTTTTAAATCAATAGTGCTGTACAATAGTGAGATACATGTACATGCACCACTTGTTCATCTTCACAAACAATGGGGCGACATTCTTTGAAAACAAATTTATAACTGAATTATTTCCACCAAAGGAACAGGCTTCTGTGTGAGCATTTAACACAAATTTGAAATGTGAAAGGAGATCTTCGGTTGCCTGGATGAAGGAGGTACATGTAAGCACTTACGCCCTTTTACCAGGAAGCATGATCACTGCAAAAAAAAATTTCCCCGCAAAAGGACATATGTATGCAACTATTTCATTTGAATGTAAAATAAAGATTTCTTTGCAAAACTCTCAGAAAACAAATTCCCAAATCATTTGATAAGTTGTTCAAAGGTTGCTTTTTGCACAGCCTGTATACATACTCTCTCATCATCTGAAGACCAAGTTAGGCAAGTGCTAGTACAAGTATGTCCTTGTCAATACAACAAACAATGCAATATTGGAAATGGTTTTGTACACGGACATCACTTAACACCCTGTGCACAAACCCTATGAGACTGGTCTGAATTTTTTTTTCTAAGTAGGCACAGGCTCACTAGGCACTAATAAATTTAACTTTTCAGGACATTTTACCACTTTCTGATGGCTATTAACCTACTGCAAATGAAAATTAGTGATGTCCGTGCCTGAATATGGAACTCTTACTGCAAAAAGTGCACTATTCATCAGTGTTTATCCAGGCTTACCAACTATGCCAACCGACAAAGAGTTGCCAGTGTCATCAATACAATCAGGTGACAATGAGACAATGCAATGTCTAACCCCAGAACTGTGGGGTCCGACGTCCGCCCTGGGAGTCGGACCCCACAATTCTGGGGGTATGCGATGTTTACAAATACAATGCATTCGCCAATATACAATAACTGACCAACCGTGCCAGGCCGACCCAAAAATGACAAAGTACCGGTAGCCTACCATGCCTAGTACATCTTGCCAAGGACAGGTTCCCTGAACATACATGTGCATACACAAGACTAAAGAAGAGAAGAGACTAACATATCAAGCAAGATATGCAAGCCCGCCGGACGCCGCGAGGTTAGCTACTGTACTGTGTAAGCCCGCGCAGCGCGTCTGCCCGGCCCATCCCATTCACTGACCACCCCCTAGGTCACTTGTACATGTACAACATGTAGGCCTAGGCTATAGTATCATAACTTATCAAGATGCAAGTCTCCTCGAAGTCGTATCATTCGTAAGTCGCATCATCATTTGCAACTCAAAAACCTCGGCACACACACTTACCATGAGTCCCAGCAGCCCCTCTCAGTGACTCGGTGACCTCCGGCATGGCTCCGTTCGTCTCCGCAAATTCCTCTGAGAAGCACGTCGATTTCCTTGGGCAAATATGTCCGGAAACTATCACAGTGCCGAATCAAATTCTGCGCATAATAATTTCCCGCACCAAAGCTTAAGATTTACGAGTGGCGATTTACATACAACGCCCTCTTTCGGTAGGAGTGTTGACAAACTGTGACCCCAGGCCATTTTTTTTGGAATGTACCATCACCATTTTAGGAGTACATAACTTTTGAGAGAATAATCAAATTTTGTTTTTGATGAAATCTACGCAGAAAGTTTTAGAGCTTACCCTGATATCCAACAACTGAAATATCGTTTGTTTCTTTCAAGTATTATTCTTGAATTTTTAGAGATACATTATTTACACCCGTTCGTTAAGTAGAATCGCCCAAATAGCATAACATTGAAAACAAACATGGCGATCCCTGTTGAAGTACCACTGATCACTTGGGGATCATTTGGAGTCTCTTTTGTGGTAAGTTCTTGTGTGGAGAAAGTTGTACTCAGAGAAATTAACTTCATGTAGTTGTTTGACATAAATTGCGTTGCTTTAATGTAGGCAATGAGATATGATAAAAACTACCACCTGATTGGCGAATATTGTCACTGAATGTGCGAAAAAAAGAAAAGCATGTGATCATGATGTGGGCCTACCTGTCATGCCCGTCGTGCCTACCTAGTACCTGGGCATGCCAGAAAACTGGGGGGTTCGTCATAAGCCTTACCATACTTATCGCAAATGCTGCAGGGGTGATTTTGCACAATGGTAGAAAGGCATTGTTGGAAGGAAAAAGGGGCGATGTTTGCTCCTTTTTCTTTCCCACAATGCCTTTCTACCATTGTGCAAAATCACCCATGCAGTATTTGGGATAAGGCTTAAGTTAAGTTATGTTCAGCGTCAGCAGGAGTGCAGCATACTATGAATCCCACAGTTCTGGGAATAATATAATGCATGTCATTTGGTAATTATGTAGGCCCACATTGGTGAACATGATGAACGTGCCATGTTGAAAGTGGATTTCATTTCAGAGTCCTCGTCTTTAATAATTCAATTTCCGAAGTTGTTAACAAATTATCTTTAACGTGCGTGACTTTACACAGTATAGTCACCAGGTCCCTAATTTTGTCCCTTACTGTGAAAACCAATCAGACTTGACAATAGGTGGCAAAATTAGTGACCTGGCGACTATATGGTCACAAACATTTGTTCCTGTACTGGCTTACAGGTGGCACTGCTGTTTGCCGTGTACTACATCTGCCATTTTCAGGGTAAAAGACACAGGGAACGAAGTACAACTGTCACAGGTAAAATAAAAAGGCGGGGGTAGAAAACAGTCTGATTAAAATAATGTTAGAACTTAATCTTCTGTTTTAACATTTTTTATTTACATCTTCGCAAGAAAACAGGAATTGATTTTTCATACAAGTGTCATCTTGTTTGACCTCTTAAGCTTTCCATGCCAACATGCCTTAGCAATTCACTTTTGATAATGAGCAGGGGTAGTTTTGTTTTTTAAAAATGGAGGTGTTACAAGTTGTAATTGATTGTCGTCGTTAATTTTTCCCACCAGCTGTTTTGGCACTGACAGTGGCCATTTTGACTGTTGCCCTTGTGCCCATAGACATCTTCTCCGTCTCATTCTTGAAGAACGATGATGGGACTTACAAGGTCTGTGTGAAGATTTGCATGTTGGCTGAGGATTTCAGTGAATGAATACATGTACATGTAGCAGCAAACAACATGAAAACTGAACCAACGGCTGGATTTGAGTCTAGTGATTGTTACTTGAGATTCTCACCAGTTGATTTTGTACAATTTTTAAGCAGACACCTCCACGATCCAGTGAATTTTCCTCCAAAACTTAAGATGCGTATTGTTTTGATTTACATCCATTCAGGAAAAAAAAAGTAGTTTCAAAGCCTGTGAGAAATTCTGTATCTTTCTCTGACTAACGCTGGTTTAGCCATTTTTCTTGTAGGAGTGGGCGGAATCCAATGCCACAAGGGAGTACATCACTGACACCTTGCTGTACTCTTACTACGGTGAGCGTCTTAAAAATGATGTCCGTATTCATTCTCCCTTCCCTCCATTCATTAAGATGAACAAGTTTTGTAATGCATGTTTCTCCCCACAGTGTTGTACGGATGCATTGCGTTTTTCGTCTTTCTGGCCATTCCATTCATGATTTTCTACTACGAGGAGCAAGATGAAGAAACAACCACTAAAGAGGTACAGAGTACGATCAAAAGCATTTCAAGTTTGAAGAAAGATCTAAGACAAGTAGCTGCCAACTGCTGACTGTCCTAAAATACATAATGTTAAAGAACGCTACATTTCGATTCTCCCAGGATCTTTCCTAAAGGTAGGCTTGGATTGAAAAGTCAGGTCCTCTGACTGGTAAGCACAGTTTAAATTTGGCCAGATGATATGAGGAGCTTTTGTAAAATGTCTGTGTTTTCGTCTACGTAGAGAATTTGTGGAGCTATCAAGTACACTGCCTGCTTCGTGATATCTGCTGCTGTTCTGCTCGTCATTGGGTGAGCCGTTACCATGTTTTCTCAACAACGTACATGAGCTTTCGGCCCGTAACTAACCAGTTGAGGTGTTTTCACTCAGAAAATGCATAAGTGCTTTTCAAACAGAAAAGAAAAACCGAAGTATGAAAGATTCGGATAAATTTAGTGAATATGGCGACAGATGATCAAAACTATTCCCTTCAGAAGGAACACTGAGCAACAAGTGTCATTTGTTGATGTTAACGGTTTATTTGCTCATTTCCAGAGCCTTTGTTCCACTACAAGAGATACCCAACCGAAACGCCACAAACTGGGAGGATTTTGAGTACCTTCTGACGGAGTTTGGCAAAAGTAGTGAGTTCCTGTCGCTCCCTTTGACGTAGTCACTGTCATCTCTCCGTGTAAAGAGATATTCACATTTTTTTTCTCACGAATCTGTTCATTTTATGGTGAGTTGTTTTCTTTTTGTTTGGTTTCAGAGGGAGAGACTGCTCTGTATTTTCTCATCGGCTTTGTCACACTGATAGGAATGCTGGGACTCATCTTCTACACGGTTAGTCTTCTAAATTGTGCGTTCAAACTTAAAGTTGCCATCAAGTCTGTCATATGTCAGTCTCTAATCTCTTGCACGTCGGTCAGTCTTTCAGTACATAACGTCAGAAGCTCTTCAAACTGACTTTGACAAAATGCCATTTTCAGTCATTTTTTGTTAATTCCCTGTTACTTGTGATCGGATATGTGACGTGACTGATGTTTGACTAACTTCAAACTCAATTAAAAACTCCAAACCAAATGCCTCCCACAGGATCAGTAAGAAAAGATCTCTGTATCTGGGGGTTAATGTACATATGGTTGCACAAAAATGCATTTGGGAGTCGGGTAAGCAACGAAAGCCTGCTGTGTTTCTCCTTCAGGCCTACGGCGTCACTGCCCTGCCCGTTGACCTCATCAAAGGTCGTCGGAGTGCCGAAGAGGAGTTGGAGGATGTACAAGAGACCGCTTCTGCAAACCGAGACCGGGTCCGGACACTCCGACGGAAGGTAAGAAGGGGTGCCGTTGGGGACGTTGATTGCTGAGCGTTTCCAGCGATCCTGCAAGAAATTCCGAAGCATACTCGCCCAGCTGACACCCACGATTTTGTTAAAGTATCCTCTGCATCCAGGTGACTTTTGTCAAGTTGAGCGGACGACTAGCGAGACATATCCACCTGAAGGCTTTGAGTCCTACTTGATTAGAATTCTTAGGCCGTTTCCAAATTCTGGCGTGAAGGCCATCAAATAACAGGTGTGTCTATGGCAAATGTGCTAGGCCACGAGCCAACAGCTTCCACGAGCATCTGATCTGTAGCGCTGGACAGCTCTCAACACTGCATGCAACAAAACATCAGGTCACTAGCTACGTCGTACTTTCCTCCGTCCAAGGCTATGTCTTCAGCGTGTAGGTCCAAACACGACATCTCAAGCATATTGTTTCTCATTGAATATTTTCATGTCGCAGCGTCGCCGAGGCAGAAACCTTTCAGCCACTGAGCGCCGTCATCTGGACGATCTGAAAGACGAGGAGGAACTGATCCAGCGGAAAGAGCGCCACCTGGTGGCCATCCAGCAGAAACTCTGCTACAGGTGCACTTGGGTATGGCGCCCTCTGCAGGTCATCATCGGGATTGTTCTCATACTGGTGGCCATACTGGTGTTCGGCTCTCTACTTATCAGCAGGTATCTATCAGCTCGGTTTATTAGCTTCTTACACGGTCATCAGAGTGGGGCCACACACCTTTCTTCGTTTGCTCGGGCGATAGTTGCCGACTTCTTTGAGCTCGGATATTTTTCATAGTTTCAGATGCTAGTATTATGCTCTAATTTGTCCAAGTTTCTTCATTAAACCTAACCTGATTCACTGCCCCTTCTTTCCAGCTTGGATCGTCTTTTGCACTCGCTAGGCTACAAGACAGGCTACATTCTGACAAAGAGCACTTTGCCTAATCCCGTAGACATGCTCTTGGTGGTCATGCAACAGGTTTGTGCCAACCTTGCTTCAAATCCAATGAAAGTGATAGAGTTACCTCACGGACATAGCCCCTGATCTAAGCCATACCTGTTGATTGTAAACCCAGTTGATGCTTGGTAGAACACTAGACCTGCAGTCCAGCGGTCTCTGGTTCAACTCAGAGCCTTGCCAAATTTTTGTTGTTAGAGATGCATTCAGACTTGTGCTGAGTGAGTCAACTGACTCCTTTGTCATCGGAAAATAAAACAATAACCCAGCAGAACCTCAAAGCCTCGGGTTCAGTTCTCCACTTAGGCAAAATTCTGCTTTACAGTAACTCGTAAACTTTCTTTGTAGGTATTTCCTTTGGACTACATCGTGTTTGTCGGCCTAGTCCTCTTCTTCATCTACTCATCGATGGCCGGTATCCGCAGGATCGGAATTTGGTTTTTCTGCGTCAAGGTACACATCTTCAACACCTTTCTCTCAATTCAGAAAGTTAACTGTCATTTGTAATGATCAAAGCACCCCAACCTGTACCTGGTTTGAATGATGCAGTTTCATTCAATTTCAAAAGTTATTGTTGGTGATTTCTAGGGCTAAAAGGCGTACACTTTCAGACGAAGGCTATGCTAATGAGCTGCTCTTAGGCCATTTTAGGACTCGTGGAGAGGAACAAGTAGCCTCTTAAAAAAAATCTAATATCAGTCATTTTCTTTTCTGTGAGAGGTTCAACCTTGAAAAATGCATTCCCATTGTAATTGACGGTGTTGGCTTGATATTCTTTTGACTCGCCTCCACTCTCTTTCCACCTAGATGTACAAGATTCGGCCTCACCATACCAAGCCACAAGCTCTCCTCTTCCTCTGCATGTATCTGATGTTTCTCCTCTTGGCCGTCAACGTCATGCTCTATAACTTGGCACCAGACTACATGACCTACGGACACCAGAAATTCCTCCCGGTATGTTGCACGCCGGCATGTCTCTCTTTCAGAGTAGGCCGTGCAAAGCCGCAGAATTTTGATGAGAGCTGCTTCCATTTCTTGAACACTGTTGCCTTGATTGCCACCACCCCTACCTGAGAGTTCACCATCTTAACCCCACCACACCGTCTCCAGCACCGCCATCACCTAGGACTCATCACCACCGTCACCTATGTTAGAACCATCACCATGACTATTGCTGGCTTCTCTGCTGCTACTTCTTCACCACAGTCTCAATATCACCCTACAACCGCCACCCCCATCCCCCTACCACCACGCCCGCCACCACGCCCACCACCACGCCCGCCACCACACCCACCATCTTAATCATCTTCCCCATCCTCAATTTAAATAACCCTTACACAGGCTGCCTCGCCTCTTCCGAGTTAGCTGTTTACATGGGTCTTTTTTTTTTCAATTTGTACACCCTGTTGTGACTAGGACAATTCTAGTGAACCGGAACAGTGCACGACGTCCGAGTCAAGCTCAGGTATGCCTCTCTGTCCTTCCAGATGACAGGTTCATAGCTTTTGACCCGTGCAAAATTAATTTGGGAAACAAGTAAACGTGTAGATTCTCATTATCAGAAAATAGCCGTGTAAATCGTTTTTCACCCGGCATTCGTTTTCTGCACTGTGCAAGTAAACCTGACTTCATTCTACCGTTTTATGAGTTATGAGTCCTTTTGCGACTCTTGTTCATGATCACAGCAGTAAATCCTGAACCAATTAAGTCCAAGGGAGTTCAAACTTCAAAAGCTCAACTCTGCTCTGACATACGCTTGATTCTATTCTAGACAATAACAGCCTAACATCTGACCTTGAGATATATCCGAATCAAAGCCTGGACGTGTGCCCCTTTCAGAGTGGGGGCTTAGGTTGTAACTTAACAGGTACCCAGATAACTGGATACACCCTACACAGGCAGGGGCTAATTGGCTGCCAAGTTTGAGCGCACACATTCATTTACCTGTTCCTTTTAGTAGAACGTGACTACATCGCCTTTGTTTTCTTAATTTTGCCTGTGCAGATTGCACCATGACAGTCACCATGGGGTTGATGACCAAGTTTGTTTTCCAGCTCTGGTTTTTTGGAGCCTGTTACTACTGGGCCAACTGGGTCTTTCTTGGGGTTAGTTCACCAACTTGTATTTTTACAATTTCCCATAAATGTTGGTGTACATTGTATGAGAGTTTTTCATTTTAATCTAAAATTTTTGTCTACCGAGTGTGAGGCCCGTTAAAATTTATTTTGGGAAACATTGAACTTTATGGAGAACTAGATGATGCCAGTTCTTTCTCACACATTCTTTTAGAATTAGTCTTCATTTGCAGCAGTTGAGCACCTAAAAGGATAGCAGACACACTGTTTCAGCAATTTGTTAATCGAAACGTTCTCTCTCTTTTTGGTTCTTTATAGTTCATCCTCATTGGCTTGATCATCTCGTTGCTACGGCGGCGGCGCTCATCCATCGAGGACCAAGTGGACTCCTCAGACAGCGAGGACAGCGACGAAGAAATGCTCACTCCATGAAGCAGAAAGATCTATAAACAGAAGAACCGTTACCTCGCCATACCATTTTTTGTTCACATGTTAAATCTTTACAAGCATGAGGGTTCCCAAAACCAGTGCAATTTCAAGCTATTCCAAAAAATCAGTAATCGAATGTATATTGGTATCCATAATATTGGAGCACATATGTACCTCTTTTCTCAGAACAGGTGAATAACAAAGCAGAGTGTCGATATCTACATAGCATGTGGTATTCTGGGTGCTGTATCTGAAGGAGTTAGACAGAACTCAATGTGTACAACTGTACATAATTGTGAGCCCTTTGTTTATTGCTCCACTGCCCTTTGTCTCAGAAAAACACTTAAGACCACTTTTTGGTAACACTGTAGTGTATATATACTGTTTTTTGTGCAAAGAATGCTAAATCCTCTGATTTCAAGTCTTACTTTGACATCTTGCTGCTCGGCAGCCGGCTGGCAACCAGGTATCACATGATCAATAAACCTGCCAAGTTTTTAAGCAGATGTCCAGGGGTGTGAATGATTAGTCCGTTGAATTCGATTCAACAGAAGTTACTTCAAGGCGATAGATTCTGTAGGCCATATTAATGCTTTGATAACATCTCTGCCCCACATTTATTTTAAGTATTGTCACAGGCTCACTGACGAGCTTTTGAAGACATTAAAATGTGTGTTCTTAGTCATGCACGGTATTCCTGTCAGGATAGTGTTCAGGGTTGGCAGATAACATTTCTCGAGGAGGAACTTGTGTTCTGTGCCATCAAGAATATAGTTGTGTAATAAACCGGTTACAAAACAACGTGATGTTATATCGAAGTAAGATTTGCGTTTTGTTTTTGTATTTGTGACAAAAATTGATATATTTATCAAAGATGATAACTAGATCTGGGCCCCGTTTCATGGCGCTGCTTACCGCAGAATTCTGTGCTTACGATCTCCATTGTGCGCGAACAGCGCAAGCAGAAAAATTCTGCGCTAACCTTTAAGCACAGAATGCTTAGTTACGGGATGTACGCATGCGCACAAGCCAAGCTTCCTCGCTAACCCGTGGCAACCGTGAAATACGCTCACTGTTAGTAGGAAAATTGTTATGCGTTGTTTAGCAGAAAAAATTGCTTGACGGTTCAATAAGTGGACATCAGTTCGGTAGATGTTACCCTTGATGTGGGATTGTGAAATTAAACAACCTTTATCGGGTGTCCTAAGTGGAGGCCCCTAGAATGATATGCCGCACGTGTTTCTGACGAGTAAGTAATTAGTATTTTGCCACTGACCCCGTCAGATCTCGCTTTTCATTAATTTGATTTGTCGGAAGTTAATGCCTTCTGGATATGAAGATATACTCCCCCGTCAGTCTCACATCTGAAGCTTTCTCAGCGGAGTCACATTCAACATGGGTTGTAGTTCTATGCATTCAATTACTACGGGGGGGGCGCTCTATCCTTAGCAGACATATGCAGTCGGATTTAAGCAACCCATATGGTTAGTCAAAGACGCCAACGGATTCAAGAAAACCTCATGCGATACTCTGTGCAGTGCACTGATATCCGATTCGAAATCTCTTTTCTTCAAACATGTTGAGTGGCGGTTATCAATTCCGGACAACAATCAAAAGTCGTTTTAGTGGGAGCTAGTGGTGTCAACACGCGTCGAAGAACAGTTTCCATGCAAAGGTGGGTCTAGGACCGCAAGGGAGGGTCAAAATATTGTTTGCGGGCTGAAAACTTCAGAAATTTCTTCAGGCTCCGTTTTCGGACATTAACACGCTATTCGCAGGAACAGACGTCAGATAGTCCAAAAACTTTCCATTGAAAAAAATGGGTGCAATTAACGGCCCTGTCCCACCGTTCCGCCATCGCCTACAAGAAACGTCCTTGTTTTTGCCAACTTAATGTGCTTGCTGTTCTAAAATGAGCTATGTATTGAATTTTGAACTTTCTGCCCATCATTATAGTTCCAAAAGTATAATCTTGTTGGATAAATATAGATTATACAATGGTGAATCTATTAATCTCTTTAACTTTGAATCCGATAAAAGTACTAATCTTGAATCGTATTTAGACTAAGCCGAGAATCTTCGCTCTTAAGATTTACTTGCATGAATTTCTAACTGATAATGAAAATATGAAGCTCTTTGTTTGTCCATGGTGTGGCGACCTTCCCAAGTCCCGTGGTACACTTTGTGTATTTTTTGACGATGAACGGTAAAGCAATAACAAAAATAGGCTAAAATGATGACAAACCCCATATAAAAACAACACACGATGTAAAGCCAGTGGTCAGATGGCTTCGTCACTCGTTAGCTGAGAGGAACCATCCCCGAGAACCATGAACCGAATTCTTCAAGTCGTTTTGTTTCTGACTGCGGTCACCGTGGTGTTGGGCGCTAACTGCCCAGCGGGTTACTACAAGCGGTTTGGGGGAAATTGCTACAAGATCTGGGCCGAAAAGAAGAGATGGGCAGAAGCCCACATCCTCTGCGGAACGGAGAACGCTCACCTGGTGACCCTTAACGATCAGCTGGAGAGCGACTGGGTTAACAGCTTCTTTATAAACAACAGACGTCATGACTGTGGTAAATACTACTGGATTGGGTAAGCCGATAACGTATAACTTGAATCGACATGCGGTGATGCACAACCGTTTAGGACTCGACGTTTAATAAAATTTCATGAAATTGAACATCTTAAGATTTTTGTTTTGTTTTGGTACGCTGGGTGGAAAATGCAACATTGCGTACTCAAGTTTTCGAAATTGGTATCAAGACGTGTTATAAGCCGCATTTAAATTGCCTGTATTGGTTATGGCTGTTGACAGTACGTTCGAACATAGAAGCCGCTCGATAAGCCATTTCCTATAGCTGCTTGGTAGGCCTATTGACAAGTATCTGTGGTGAATTTAGACAGCCTGCATCAAGAAAAATAATTATCCAGGTATGGTGTAGGGAAACGTTCTACCTCTAATTAAGAACGCCGCCTCTAATGCGTTGAAATTCCCCCATGTCTACGCTACAGACTTACTGACCTCCCAAACGAAGGCGTTTGGACTTGGCTAGCGGACAACAGCCCAGTTCACTACACCAAATGGAACACCGGCGAGCCGAACAACAGCGGGGACGAGGATGGCGTGCAAGTCGACAGTGAGCTGAACAAGTGGAACGACTCCGGTGCCTGGATGTTCTCCGAATGCTTCATCTGTGAGCTGGATCCAGACGCCATGTGTTAGGACCAAGAGACAAATCCCCTTGTTTGTGTTAACTTTAAAGTGAATTCAATTCAGAAGCAAATCGATCGATGACGTTTTTTGTTTTTGAATGTTCTAGACTGATTCCCGTTTAGAGGAGCCCACACCCACGAGTCATGCCTTGAACACACATCACAAGTGAACGATATGACTCGTTTGCCCATGTATACACGGCCACGGTGACAGCAAATCTGGACCAGAATTCAGCGAAAGGTGTTCTCCTGGTCCTTGTTTTACATTGACATGTACATGGTGGAGATAATTTGAAACTCCACGCCTGAAAAAGACACACGCAAAAAAAAGACACGAAAAAACTGTAGACACAAAGCGTAAAGAGTTATCTTTACTGGCAGTCAGCCATCTTCAGTGCAAGGCTGGTCACGCGTCAGAGTGTTAACGCCCTTCAAAGCGCGCGTGTTGAATGAAGTCATGTCACGTACCCTTTCCAACTACTTGCAAATAAAATCTGTCATGCCATCCTGATGATTGTCTGATACTTCCCGGATTCTCTCACAAACCAAGATGTTTTTGTTTTTTAATTTACCGGAAACGCCATTCCATGAATTGAAAAGTTGATTTCTCGTGTGACTTGAAGGATTAGAAAATACACATTACCTGCATTACAAATTGTTAAAAAAGGAAATAAAAATCTTTGGTATAAATGCAAAAGGAGGTGAGAATTCATTATTGAAAATCTTGTTTTTTGAATCTTCCACTTCTATACCCGCTTTCAAGACACTTTTTTCATTTGCCCACAGAGGATGGTGTTCTTGTGACCACACCCACTAGTATAGGGTCGTCAATAAGTTGACGGCTGCGGATGCAATTCACACTTGCGCTGTAACAGAGACATTAGCGAACGGTTTTAGCCACTTCCCACAGACTTACATTTGAGTTACTTCTTCAACAGCTACACTGCCACAACATTTCCACTGTAACACGACCCAAGGTCTAAGGATGAGTCGTGAAAAGAAGTATGTCTGCTGCCACCAATACTTCAGAAGCCTCACGTTCCTTTAACTGGCTCCCACTGCATGCCATCTCAACTTCGAATATTGGCGCCGATGGTATGCTCACCCACACGGCAAAAACAAGGAGGCGCCCCCGTTGTTTCCAGCACCCTCCCTTAGTGTCCATTGAACGGACGAGGAAATGAAACCAGCCGAAAATGAAACCCCGAATTGTTCCTCTCCTCGAAAAAAATGTAAACAAACTAGACCCAGGCAACCTGGACTAATGTCTGCTTCCCCGACCAAAATTCCCTGACGACTCTTGATAAAATCTTGGGTCAGGTATCACCCACGGATAGAAATAGAGTCCTAAAGGTCATAGGGCAAATCCTGGGCAGGTGTGACGACAGTGACATGACAGAAAGCGTTTGGCTCAGGTTATTTCCGAATGACCTCGGACGCGCACCATTTTGGGCATGCGCCGTTGGTATACCGAAGTGACTGACGCTCCAACAAATAATATTCTGTTGGATAATAAATTAATCGGATGAACCTATTTCCACATCTTTTAATCGGGACTTACATTCCAACCGTGGCCCTCCAATAATGACTGTTTTGTTTTATCACATAAAATATTATTAATTAACCAGTAACTGATAATTGAATAACTTATTCCAGCTATTAAATTTTGTTTGTCTGCATTGTGAAAGTAATCTGCAGGTCTGTGGTACACTGCAGGTGTTTGCGATTAGGAATGGCTGCAAAGCCAGATTAGGGACACAAAATTCAAAATCATTCTTATCACTTTTGGTCGCTCGTTCTGAGATCGTACCAGGATTTAGAAGTGCCTTGTCACTCGCACCGCCGGGCACTAAATTTGCTATAAAGGCCCGATATGTTGGATGCCTCGTCACTCTTGAAATCAGAGCCTCACACACCGGTGAACCATGAATCGATTGTTCCTCGTGGGCCTGCTGTTATTGGTGGTTACGGAGGTGCTTGCCTCTTCATGCCCGGCGGGCTACTATCGGCGTCCGGGGGGCAACTGCTACAAGTTGTGGACCCAGAAGAGGAAATGGGGTGAAGCCAACGTCATCTGCCGAACGGAAAACTCCTGGCTGGTCACCCTCAATAATGAGGTAGAAAGTGATTGGGTCAACAACTTCTTCATAAGCAACAGGCGTCACGAATGCAACAAATGGTACTGGATTGGGTAAGTTGACAACATAATTCCCAACGAGCCGGTTCGGTTTTATACCAAAAAAATTAGGTCATTCCAGGCCAGGTCATTCGGGAACAGAGCGAGTCAGTGAGGTCAGCTATGATTGGGCAGACCCACAGAAATCATAAGGAGAAATTAGCTTTACTATGATCTCTTTAGGCAGACCTCGGATGCGCTTCATTGGGCATGCGCTTTTGGAACACCCAACTGACTTATTACCAACGTAAGAATCGTGCTAGCTGAATGTCGATTTTTTCTGCCAGCCTAGAATATTGGGCATTACACCGAATGTTAATAAACGTGACCCAAAAAGCGTTTAAGACGTACCTTTTACCTTATGAATACCGGTTTGGAAACACATTGCAAATACACGACAACATCAGGATCCGTCGGCCCAACAGTTTTCCCGACTCTTTCCCGACAGACTTAATGACATTTCCAACGAAGACGTCTGGACTTGGATATCGGACAACAGCCCCCTCCATTACTCCAACTGGAAGAATAACGAGCCGAACAACAGCGGCAATGAAGATTCGGTGGAGGTGGACTGTGAGAACCGTCAGTGGAACGATGAAGACAGCTGGGGCAACGAAGAATGTTTCATCTGTGAGATGGACACAGAAGCCACCTGTTAGACTCAGGAGAAAATCATTATTCACTCATTGGTCACATGATTATGTATCAAACAATGAATTAATTGTCAAAGCAAAGACGCTGTGAATGCATTTGAACGATTCCCGTCTTTAACACGGATGCCCTATCAAGCCTTTTAACATAACCGGAAGGGCAGTGCTATAGTTATGTTTTTAGGCTATTATCATTTGACACAGTCATCTTTGATCGATTATTTTTCCCAGAAAATTTAAGCTGAAAATAAAAGATTGGCAGAAGCCTAACAAAGAAGTGTCGCACAGTCGTAATTCGACAAGTTCAAATTTGGTCGAGGTTTCCTGGTGGTTTTCTGTATCTAAACCACCATCCATGTTCCAAAGGCGTGCATGTTTGTCACTCCTTTACAAGTGTTATTTGTTTTTCGATCCAAAAATATTAACCTCTATTATATTAAATGAGCCTTGGTTTCTCTTGTGAGTTGCAGGAAGTCTAAAATAACATTTCAGGAAATCGAAAATGGGAACCATACAGGCACTGGAGTAGCACTCGAAGCTGCATTTCACCTTCACAAAACAACTCCGATTAACTTCTGGAAGACGCCCCATACGGGAGTTTGTTTCTGACGCTATCGTCCAGTACGTATGGGTGTCTGCTGCCACCAATAGTTTAAAAGCATTCTCAGTTTCTTTGCGAAATTAGATCAATCTGTTACGAGGGCGCTCTCTCTTCCATCCAATCTTCTTTGCCTATAGAGAGCCTGGCACTTACACAAAGCAACCAAGACCAAGGAATAATTTCGACAGAGAGATGTTCTTGTCGTTGTTTGTAAAGATAGGGACATTTTCTTGTACAGCTGTCTACAATAAGAGCGTGCGCAGGGGAAGAGTTCGAACCAGCTCCCTTTTTCAAATCCTTCGAAAAAAAAAACTTTTTATAAACTTTCTCAATAGGTTTGGATTTATCTTTACGGGCATTTAAAATGGGCCAGGCAGCTGGACTTTAGGCCTATGTCCTTTTGAAAAAAATTCCCTGGTGCCATACCCCCCCGCCATTGCATTTCGACTCAAAAATTGCTGAAAGGGTAAAAACATACGAACGCTCCACCAAAAACTCTTGACCACACTCAATGATTCCAACAGGTACCAAGGGGAAACTTTGATGTTCCTATAGTGTGGCAACTGTCCAACCTGTGGGGTACGGGGGTACCTAACTGTGTCAGCAAATACAAAGAACATGGCGAAGAGTTCTAAAAAGGGATCTTCAAAGAGTGGTGGAGAACGTGTGTTTCAATAATCATTTTCAATCGCGAACTTTCGGTAGAAGTTATCAGACAGTAAGCGACAATTTGGCGCAAACATGTCTGACGAGTAAAGTAATTCCACTGAGTTGATTCCAACCGTCATAGCCAGATGGACAGACAGATGAAAATATATCGATTTTGTAATAATTTGAAGCGTAGGGTATAGTACAAAACGATACTTGTACATTCAATCACCCTGAGTGGATCTCGTGAGGAGACAGCACGATTTCAAAATGGCCCATCAAATACTAAAAGAGGAGCGCTACTTTTGCTGGCACACCAAGCGTGTCGAAAGTCCTCCTCAAACAAAGGTTTACATTGAATCTACTAGTTTTCATGGCCATGCTTTTTTATTTACTCTACCTACATTTATATGCATTTATTTTGATACATATATAATGTTGCAAAAGAAAAAATACAAATTACGTTAACATTACATATAAATGTGAATGGTGTAGATAATAGTTTACAAGTATTACATTTTCTTACAGGTATTAAAACATTTCATGATAATATCATATAAAGCATCCATTAGTTACTTACACTCAAATCTTGACCTGAGATTAAATAAGATTGGGAAATTTCATTTGATTAAATGTCGGGTGTTAAGGAAAAACGTTGATTAATATATGTTTCTGCAATGTTATATATGGTAAGTGGACATTACACAAGGAACACGTGAATTTAAGTGTCACGGGCGTTTCAGCAACACTTGGGCTAAGTTGAGAGAGAAATTTTACCCCGAAACATTTCAAGTTGGAGTAACAAAGCTGCTGGTATACAGCGAGTAAACTGGCGCTCTTTACGCCCCTGGTGTACAGGGGATACCAGGGACAATCGGCCTGAAGTGCAAAAACCGTCAGTGCATGCACCAGACAGGAATGCAAAGGAGCGTAAACCAGCGAAAGGCTTCACCGAAGCAATGCAATAACCATGCGCTCCACTGAGCTCACCGCCCAACACTCAAAACTATATTACCAAAATAGTTATTATTGCAATTTCACCACTAGAGGGCGATTTTTGGCATGGTAAAGTACTCAAGCCAGTCCATCCAATTCAGTAGAAACGATACTATCTACATGTTAATCACATGTGGATTGAAATGTTATATGGATTAAAAGCTTACATTACTTTCAAAACCACTGTCCATATGCATGCTTAGTGTGTCAGTGCAAAGGCATGCACGTATTATTTGTTTCTATTTTCCAGTATTTGACTTTTGCATTATACCGCGTTAGAACTGATTGAAATGGAGTGATGGCACTTAAATGTACGGTCCCATTTCATCATCTAAAACTACTGAAAGACATCTATGGTTGAAAGCTTCTCTTCTGACCGGCAAAACCAATACGGTGACCGGTTTAACATAAAGAATAGAAAAAAAAGAATGTCATCAATATTTCTATACCGTGCCAGCCTCGACCACAAAACACACAGAAACTTCGCCAGCGAAGGTATTCGAAATTTCTCTGTATAGCAGACTACGGATGACACAATAATAAGCCCCGGCAATATCTCAAGTGTTAAACGCACCCTGAGGCTGTGGACCAAGTGAGGGCGCAATATCCCCAGCTCTGGGCTATATGGGGGCCCTTTTGGCGGGCTGCATTTCGCCGATTCACGAACAACTATGGAGAGCACGCGTCGCAGTCGCGTCACTTTCAAAACAGACAACACTCCCCACCAACGTGCCTCGTTTATGAAGGGGGGGGGTGTTCCTGCTAGGGACGTGGCGAAGGCATTTTCTGTGGGGTGCCAGGTTCAATTCAACGACTAATAACTTGTTCGCCAACCTGTGAAATGAAAATCCGTGGTACGCTACATTTCATGTTTCAGGAGAAATACCAACGTATGTCGTTCAAGTACCAGTTTTGAATTGATTTGCCAACTGAAGCTCTATTTGCCGACTGGAAATGATTATGGGATGGTGCTGTATCCCAACCCACCCCTCTCCAGGTCGTAACTCCCCTGGCTACTGCTCAAGGCAGATAGAGTTAACACGCACTCGTTCTTTACCGGAGACGCGCCGGCATTTGGCAAGCCACGACAAACAACCAGTCGAAGAGGCATATAGAAAGGCAAGTACCACCCGCGCAAGAGCCTGGCACCACCGCAGCGATGGCTTATTCCGGAAGAGGAATATTCCGTTCTACTGCTCTTGCAAGAACTCTACGCTGTGTGGCGTGCGTCCGAGTTCCTTGAGAAAAACATACCGGTGCTGACTGTTTCTGCCAGGCGCTCGAAGGAAGCATTCCAATGTAGTCGTGCAAGTATTTTTACTGACACTGAATACCTCGTGTCGGCAAATAAAGGTCCACAGATAATTAACATTTCTGATTCTGCAAGGGTCGAAACGCCAGGCCCTCCATATTTTGTGTTTTTTGTTTTTATTCACAAAGGATAATAAGAAGCGTATTTGTCTTCCTCATTCTGATAGATCCTTGGTACTGGTCCCTTGGAACCAACAATACCTCAAGAAATAAGAGTTAATATTGCGGGTGTCCAAAAACGGAGAATTTCTGGGAAACGACGATATCGTAGTCATAATTTAATTGTACAAAGATTCTATAGATTTACTCTACTCACCTTGAATACTGAGGCAAAAGACGCACATGTATTGAGGAAGATTGCTTCATGGTCATGGCATTTCGACTTTGACAGACTTCAACGGGAGGATTAGTTCCTTCTTACGTACGTGATTATCTTAAGCTGTGTAAAACGGCGAATACATTATTGTAGGAAGTGATTTGACACGGTGGATGCTCACACGATGGGTAGGGGTTCATTAAAACGAGATGTGGACAGAAGAATTAGCAAGGATGTACATGGGGATTTCTTTTATACATAGACACTGAATTGTAAGTGCGGGTTGTGTTATGTACCAAGAGTAAAACGGTCATTGCTATCGACGAATTTAATATGAAATCGTATTTTGACTCAAAGGATAATCATTATTGTAAGTCGATCAGATGATTCTACTGCAAAACGGTTTCCGTTCAAGCACGAAAATGATTAATGGAACGTTCCACGTTTTACGTGGTTACTTGATATCGGGCTTGAGCCAGGGCTGGTAGGCTTGGAACCGGCACCTGTTATTAGCGTGATATCCCTCAACGCGTCGTCATTACCTGGTGACTGGACGAGACCTGGGTCCACCCCGTTCCCAATCACCAACGGCGATTTCCGTGATGAGGAGCCGGAGCTGGAATCCGACGGCACATCATGGGCGTCCATCGGAACGCTCTCCTTTGCGCTGGAGTCGAGGCCGTGACGGCTGGGCTGCTCGGTGTAAGGCTGCGATTGGCTAAGACTGCTCCTGGCGGGCAACGGTGACTGGTCCGCGTCTCGCGCCAACGTCTGGATGAGAGGCGGAAAAATGAAGTGCTCGCTCTCGGTGTTGTGCTCGGATTGACCCCTGTGCGTTGGTGTGTCCCCATAGTTACCAGGACTGGGCAAACTGAATTGCACAGACGGCGAATGCTGGGGTTGTGAGTCACTGTCATCAACGTCCTTTATCGGTCTTGGAGCCACTGCTGTGGCGTCGGCACGTTGCTTGGGGGACTGTGGGGACAGAAACCCCAGAGGGCGCAATTTAATGCTTCTGCCCTTTCCCTTAGCACTTTTAGAGTTTGGGGGTGGAGTGGTGCCACTGTCCGATGTGCCACTGTCACTGGTCCGACTGTAGTGCCTGTCCGTGTCAACCGACGACTCCGGTGCGGAACCCGTCCTTCTCTGGCCAGACTTTCCATGTCCGATGCGGAGTCCGCTGGTCAGGTTTCCAATTCCAGAGAGGATCACCGACGGTTTCTGCTTGAATTTCCGGGGTTTCCACTTGCTGGCAGATTTCTTGGACAGTCGAGGCTGGGGCATGCCGTCCGCTCTTGCCTCGGAGTCCGTCGAGGACACGCTCCGCCGATCGTCTTCGATGGTCACACGCTTACACACGGTGCCTGGTGAGGTCTGGCTGTCCCCAGAGCTGGACCTGCGGCTGAAGGACGAATGGTCCAAGGGCCGCTCGTCACTGGAGTTGGGCGGGTTCTTGAGAACTGGTTTGATGGGTTTATCCCTGGACCGCGGTACTGAGTGGGCTATCTGCTCCCTCTGGGGACTCTGAGCCCCAGCTTTGGTCCACGTGGTGGTGAAGCCGTCGTCCAGTTTTTGAACGATGACCTGATCTTCAGCGGACGTTCCAACGGCTTGCAGGGGCTCCTTGTCGCGGCCGTCAGGTGCCGGGGTGCCTTCCCTCTCGGCAGCAGGGTGATACGAGCCAAGCAAAGGCTGCGTTTCATTGGCGTCTTCGGCGTCGTTTGGTGAGGTGCCGCCCCGCGAGCGCCTCTGGTCCTGCGGTGGGGACTCCGACACCGATCTACCAGGTCCGTGCTGCAATGGTGACAAAGTTCCCCTCTCCGCTGGCTGGTCCGTGGTTGAAGGACATGATGGGTCTACTACGAGATCGGAGATGCCTGATGCACTCCGTCTCTTTGCTGGTACTTTTCCACCTCTCCTACCAGCTTTTTCTCCCCCCGTTCCAAACAATCCGGTGGAAGGCACATCACAATGATGCGGTACCTCCTCGCCCTTCCTGGACTTTCTCGCGCTACTCCCGAAATTCTGACACTCGTCCACGTCTTGCCCGCTTATCCCCACCCCCGAGTGGCCTACAATCAGTCCCATGCGACCAATGGCTCTGTAAACATTAGGTCGCTCCGTCGGCCCGGTGTCCGGGAAGGCGTCAGAGGCTAAGCTGCTAGAGCTCTGCTTGTTGGCGTGGTCGGTGTAGGTGGTGGAGCTACAGGTGCGATCTCTGGGCGTGGTGGGTCGCTCACCAAGGCCACCACACCTGTAGGGCTGAGGTAGAGAATCCTTGGTCAGTTCCCGTACGGGCTGCGACTGCTGCTCCATCCCAATGGCTCCAAGATCCACGGATGCGTTGCTACAGGTCTCGTCACGACTGATGCTACGATGCGGGCTAGAATGGGAGTGCACGCTGCCCTTATAAGAGCCCTTCAGCACATGCGCAGTGTCATCCATGACGTCCATCATATCAAGGCAGACATCTCTGATATTGAGGCTGACCAGGCTACCGTTCATTTTGGCCTTATCCAAGGCCTCTCGCTGCTTCATCGCCTTTTCCTGCCGCTCCTGCTCGCGGTAATAATCAGAGAAGTTATTTACTATAATAGGAATCGGCAAAGCAATAAAGAGCACACCGCACACACAACAAACGGATCCAATGACTCTGCCTAGCAAAGTTGTCGGGTAAATGTCCCCGTACCCAACGGTGGTCATCGTGATGGCAGCCCACCAGAATGACTCGGGTATGCTTTTAAACTTGGTTTTCGACACATCTTTCTCGGCAAAGTAAGCCAGACTGGAAAACAGCAATATTCCAATGGCAAGGAAGAGAATCAACAAGAACAGTTCCTTATAGCTGCGCTTCATCGTGTAGCCGAGCGACTGGAGGCCAGTCGAGTGTCGGGCCAGCTTCAAGATGCGCATGATGCGCATGATCCGGAAGATCTGCACCACCCGGCGCACGTTCTGGAACTGCATGACGCTCTCGCGGGACTCGGTGAGAAACAGCGTGATATAGTAGGGCAAGATGGCCAGGAGGTCGATGATGTTGAGGGCGCCCTTGAAGAACTTCCACTTGTTGGGGGCGGAGATGAGGCGCAGGACGTACTCCAGCGTGAACCACGCGATGCACACGCTTTCCACCAAGGCCAGCGACTCATTATCCGCGTCCCGCTTTCTGAGGTCCTCCGTCTTGGGCTTGAATGAGTCCATCGTGTTCAGAGACAAGGCGATAGTAGACAAAATGATGAACAGTATAGACAGGACTGCCACGACCTGTAAGGAAAACAAAAACCAGAGTAGAGGAATAACCAAAGGTGAATCATTTTACAACAACCAAGCAACAACACCAACAACTCTTGGATGTAACTTTCACTCATTACATCAGGGTTGGGTTAAAAAAAAAACCAAGGGAATACTCCTGATATTTGAAATCTCCAACAACAAGCTCCGTAACTTGAGTCCAACCAATCCACGTGCAAATAAAGAAACAATTACAGTGTTAAAAATAGCTTCCAATTATTTGAACAAATTAGTGCTGTAAATTTCTTAGCCTGTTGGGCACGAGACGAGCGAGTTAGTTCCTGGGCGACTTGTCTCGCTTTTTTTCTGATCTAGTGCACATGTCTAAATACGGTGAGTCGAACACTGATTCGAGACGCCATCTCGGTAGTCCCTCAAGGCAGCTCACAGCGCAACCCTCACCACTGAACACTTTTCATAAAACAGCATTTGTTGATTTTTTTTAAAAACACAAGCCCAACACACCAGAGGCTCAGAGGATCCTCAGCCCTGCACTGTTACCACACAAAACAAGTTAAAGATTGATTCCCACATTTCAAAATATCTCACACATCGGTCGCGAACACCGAGAAGCGCTTGAACATGCGAATCGAACGTTAGCTTCATCGCCCCTCGGGCTGAAGGGACGTCATTTAAACCTCGGGAGCTCCCGTCAGCAGGGTGCTACTTAATTGCAAGTAAAATTGGCGATAAGGTAGGCAAACATTTCGCCGTGTCAGCAATTACAATACACCTTGTGACGCCGGCTTTGGCTGTGTACTTACATACAGAGAGCGAGGAATATGAGACGAATCGGTGATGTACCAAAGCTTAATTTCAACAGCGATTCGAATTCTGGGAATTTCATTCACAAAGCAGCGTTTCTAGAGTTTGAATCCTACACTGTTCTTCTGTACCAGTGCTGAGCTTTTTCCTGCAGGGTTGTTAGGGTTCAGGTTCTTTGAAGTATAATCTTCGTCAGTGCGATTGGCTTTCGAAAGTCAAGCCCCTTCGATTTTCCACCACGTTTACCATTTATTATGATAAAAAAATCCAGGCATTATTATGGATCCGTTTTTGACTTAATGCATGCGAACTTCATGACGTGAGTTAAAACGGTACCTGTCTACGTGTAGCTGCCTGCTCTTTGCTCATGAATATGCAAATTTAAATTTATCTGAGAAATGAAACAGCCAAACTACTTTTTAAATGGAAAGCAACAGTTCTTTTGTGGGTTTATAGAACAAACAGATACATTTTCCAGGGCTACACTTTTAAACGGCACTGCGTGGATCCTTCAAAAACATTTTGTAAGTCGGTATAATTTGTCATTTTTATTATTAAAAACTTTTGATGAGAGTGCTCAATTCAGCAAATTACATTACATTACATTTACTTCCTCCTCATGGCAAAATACGCAGGTACTAACAATGTATGAGATAAATAGGCCAATAGAGGTGGCAAAAACCATATTATAAAATGCAAACCTTGTGTCAGGCATGCCATTACAAGAAACAAACAAGAGAATACAAAAAACACAACAAAATCTAAACTGAGAAAACATTACATATACAAAATGAGCATCAAAATAAAAATAGTAATGAACGAAAGAGCTACGGGAAGGAGTTACACTTAATCACACATCAAACTGGGACCCTGGAGACTAGGACGCATGAAATCTATTACATAAAATAACACTTAACTTTCTGCTTGAAGGAGCTGAAAGGCCTTAAACATCTGTTAGAAATCTGTAAGCTATTCCATAGTTTAGGTCCGGAATATTTGACATTGTATCTAAAAGTAGATGTTCTATGTTGAGGTATATGTGAGAATGTATGTCAGCGGACTGGTACGAATTATAGCCATGTAAGTTACAGTTTAGGGTAAACATAAACATAAAAATTAATTCTTGTTGACATTGATTCAAATTTGTGACGCTTAAGTATTTCACTTCACGTAAGAGCGGTTGACCGTGAGCCCAGTAACGTTTTCTTCAAACAAGAGGATCCATTTAGAATTGTAGGTATAAAAATATAGCTAGACCTTAATTACTGACAGTTGTAACTAATTTATCCATTTCTTATGCCTTTGCTAATACCCAGTACTTCTTTTGGTATATTCCGTACTCTGTAACAGCAGCTCCCGAGTTGCATAAATTTGGCCTGGGCTTAACCTATATTTGGCTTCTCCGAGTCCCCATTCGCCTCTTTTTTTAGGTCAACAATCTCAGAGAAGTGTACAATATCTCTACGGACTGTCAGCACCTGAAAATAATGTCACCGTAACAAACAGCAGGAATGCCTCTTACACGCGTGCACACACTCGGGGGCCACTTTTAGACCCGCGCAAAAATCGTGTTCCATTTCCCCCGGAATAGTCCTCAGTGACAAAACGTCCATTATAATTGCAAATATAGGGACCGGGCAGCGGGCAAACCTCGGCGGAGACGCAGGTCAATTTGTTTGGAGGCCCGTGAGGATCATGCCAGTTGCATCCGTTACAGCATCGTAAAGCTCCGTACGTGCACGCCTGGCAATCAGGGATGGGAACACGCGCCATCGATCTCGCATATGTAATCGTTCTTAAAACGAGACTGTGCGCCATTGCTGCGTTGAGTTACAGCAACCACACGATATATCGATGCTCCCTCTCGACACGCTGCGTCACCGTTGGGCAAAACACTGCGGTGTTTCGGCTGTGTGAACACGCTGAAGTTAGCAAGCTTTAAGGAGATTAATACCTGTACAAATACGGACGATTCGCAAAGAGTGCGCCTCCAAGAGTATGCAATGTCGCTGGCCAATCACAACGTACAAAATCTGTCGACCCTTTCAAAACGCACATTAGGTCGACAGATTTCACGCATTGTACATGTGATTAGCCAAAGTGTTGCAAACCTGTCTTGGAGGCGCACTATTGTGAATCGCCAGTATTGACTCTCCCCATCTTAGGCTAGCCTCGTTTTCAGAACTGTGTTCACAACTATCTACTCTACCTCCAGTAGAAGAGTGTGTTGGACTTATCTATGTCTAATCACGCACAATTCCAGTACTTTCGTTTTTAGCAATCTTGACCCAAGACACCCAATTTCGGCAAGTCGACCAGTCTAACTGGGGTAGCACCAAGTGCTACCCTAGTAACAGGGGTTGGCAAAAATTATTGCATTTCATTTGACGTCACAAAATTCAGCCTGGCAGTCCAGTAAACGGGAAAAAATGAACAAAAAATAAATAGAAAAAACGAAAGGACTCTCATTTTTCAGTTCTATTCCCTGATTTTCAATGTACAATTTTTTCCAAATTCAGGGTCGAAAATGTGCTTTATTTATCTTCCCGTGTAAATCACCTCCACAGCCTTATTAAGAAATAAGCTCTCAAGAAAATCCACTTTGTACAAGAGACAGAATGCAGCGACGTTCACCACACAGGATTGATTGACGTTTGTGCGATTTGACATCTTGGTTGGAATTTCAAAGGCTGCTTTTTTTCAGACAAACAAAAGTTACAAGAACGCCTTTCTGTATTTTTTTTCACAGACAAAAAATGGCTCTCTTTGGGGGTGCTATACGGCCCCCGTTGCCCACCCCTGGATCCGCCCTTGATGTCTTCAGTGTCTCTCTCTATTTGATCTAAGGTAAATTTCATACGCCCCTTGACTTTTAACAGAACATGACAAACAAATAGACCTTGTTGATATCACATTTTTACTGACGTGCTGTTGCATACCCTCAGTCTGTGCCCTTGCTTCCAACCATTAAGAGAAGAACGCCCCGAACGCTGTGGGCTTTCCCTGAAGTGCCGGCGACCTTTCTATGCAGACTGGGGGCAACCTGTAGGCCCATTTCCGAAACCACATCGTGGACGGTGCTCAGAATGACGTCCTTACCAAAAGCAATGGCCTGCTCTCAACCTCGTGGCCACTCCCCCCAGAAATTCATTAATGTTTCTCAGAGTGGAGGGGCTAGAACGTATTTGCGTTTGAACTAATTATCATTCAGAATTCTCGAGACGTCTGTGTCGTAGCCAAGGGGATATTTTTGATGCCGAGAACACTGCTGAAAAAAAAAATCCCTGAACTGTCCTGGGGCTATGACTGTTCACGGTTGTTTCCACGACGATTACAGATGCACCTCGATCGTTTACCATCAAGCACCATTATGTTTGTATGCAATACGTGTATACAATATATATGCATTTCAAGCGTGTGCAGTGCTTCATGTTAAGGGCCATATTCTTTGGAAGTTCAGAAATTCCAAAGGAAATGGTGTGTGGTTTCATCAAGCAAACAGGTAAAATGTTTGCTCTGATGTATATGATCTAGGAATTGAATTTTTTTTTTTCAAATGTTACCATGCTCTGCCGATTCTTTGCTCTGGACATCGCGACCACCGGCCAGTTTTGTGCCCCTTTACAAAGCTGGGCCCCAAATTATACGTGCATGCCATCTCAATATGTCCACAACAAAATGACGACGGTGGTAAACGCTCAGCGAAGCACGTTGCATCCGAAAATTGCATAACCACTTCGCACCGAGAAGGTGCCTGCGTTTCCCCCGCGGAGCTGGTCACGACTGTGTGGCAAGATCTCGCCCACCAGTGCCCCCCCCGGAACTCACCATGAATATTTCATTTGCATATTCCCGAAGCCTGTCATTCGATTCATCTGTGCGTGACAAGGTGTCATACAAAGCACGCCAGTGACTTCAAATTACAGAGTCTTTCAGTCTTAATTTCCGTCGAAGGTCGCGCGGAGGACAAATTGAGCGTTGTAAGCAACTTGGCATACATGTAGATTAGAAGTGTTTTCCCGCGTGCTCCGTGCACCTGTGCTTGAGTGAATTTGACCAGGAGTGTCCATTAAATTCATCACGTTATCAGAGAAGACCCCTATAACAAATAGGGTTCGGAACGAGCCATATGTAACGAGATTTTTAAAAACAGGATGGAAGGCAAAATAACCACAGAAGCAGCACACAGTTGACTTACAGAATTACGCGAAATAAAAAGACGTTTCTTCAGCGCTCTAAAATGTGGAAGACTGAGAACAGCATTTCAGAGAAATCTTCCACCTACATGCAGACTATACAAGTCTATTTGATCTTACAATGGAATATTTTTGTTGGTAAACAGCGAAATGCACCATGTGTTTTAGATTTATGTGCCTGTTTTCAGTTGGCCATAATTATTGTGGGAATTCTCTAATTAATTATTCATTAATTCTGACTGTTGGCATACTCTGGGAATCAGCATGAATACCGATCTGTAACCTTTAATTACAATGTTTTCGAGGGCCAAATTCTGTGTTAGAATAGGTGCAATGCGTTACATTGTTTTGCTATAGTTTTCCTAAGTTCCAACTTGAGCAAGATGCCATTATTTCCTGATTACAGATGAGACTTACCCGGGCAGCTTTGGAGGAGTTTGGTTTCTCCATGAGATCCCAGAGGTTCTTTCTCTGTTTGGCCCAGCATCCGGTGCCGAAGTTCTCCTGGTAGGTCTCCCGGAGGCTCTCGGCGATCCGCTTCTCCTCCTCCCGGAGCTGCTCCTTCTTCTGGTGGTACTTGTGCTGGCAGCACGTCTCCAGGTAGAGCTCGTCAATGCCCCAATACTGCAGGTCGTTGGCGAAGGAGATGGGGCACATGCCCTCGATCAGGTGGAGCTTGCCCGTCCGGTAGAAGTTGAGGATGGAGTTGAAGGAGGCCGGGTGGCGGTCGAAGAAGTACTCGTTGTCCAGCAGGATATAGTCGTCGCAGATGGCCATGATGGTCTCGTGGGTGGTGCAGTCGCGTAGCCGGCCGAGGCGAGAGCGGGGCAGACGATTCAGAGTGCGCCACATCACCTGCGAGGGAAACATGGAGACGTCTTGTAATAAGCAGCTGTCGTCGGTGTAAGATCTTGTTCTGAAAATACACTACCCTAAAGTTCTTTCCTCTATATTCAATGGATGACCAGACACTGCATTTCAAGGAGCTTTCTCTTAATCCAATGAACGATTATTCAAGACAATGTGAGAATGAACATCATTGTCACATCATGAAAATTTCTGTTTCTCATGCTACTGTTTTCCTGTGAGCAAATTTGGTATTATAACATGGTATACATAAACTACGACATCTTTTTAGGAATCTCGAAAAATCCTGGCACCATCTGATAAATATATGATCGTGTCAGAACTTTTCTTACCTCGTGCCGTACACCGCCAACATTGACAATCACCCGCTTGGACTTGGCGCGCTGACTGATAATCGCCATGGGGTCTGGCAGGCTGGACGTCCGGGAGCTGGACCTCTCCCGCGTAAAGGACATGGCGGCTTTTTTCCTTGTTTGTTGTTCCCGGGAAGAAGAGCCCAATCTGCTTCTAGTCAGCCACTTCTTCTGTTCGAACCAGAGCTCGACTGGTAGATTGTTCGCAAGCCAATGTAGTTTGGTCCCGCGTGTTTCACATTTCTGTTGGTAGATTCGGGGTGACAAAATTGAAGTACAATCAATCTTTTTATTCCAGCATATATGCTTAAGGTCGCCGCGAGTGATTCACGACCTCTTTCCTCAACGAAAGGTTCGACTTCTAGGACACTCATCTCCGAGATATCCCATTACCTTTCGCGTGCTCCTTTTCGCTGCATGAACAGTGCATGGAGGCGTCATTTACGGCATTGTTACGGTGAGGCTTTACGATGCTACGAGTGTAGTTGGATGGTCCCGCCTGGTGATTTCCCTGGAGGACTGGTCCGCTAAATTAAAGTCGGGGAGAAACGAAGGCGAGCTGACCGAAGTGTTGAAGTCGTTTTTTTCTCTGTTTCATAGAAGGTTCCTGGAGACTATTGAACTTACAATGGCAACCGAGGAGGGAATACATGTACACTCCTTCAAGACTGGATCATCTGCGAAGGGCAGTACCTTAACTCTTCGTCGTGCACGCAATTACATTTTCAAAATGGCAAGCGCACCTTCGCGCCTTGGTGGCAGTCCGTTGGCAGGCGAGTCAGTAAATGGGTCAGCTGACAGCGCGGTGTTCAACTTTTAATCCCATGCACATGTACATCTCTCGCGATTCCTCGAGAAGCGCCATCGGAGCAGGAAACCGTAGACTTCATGGCGTCCCCTATCCATAGCCTCCCGCTCAGCCGCAAACTCACACGACAACCTTTTCGTCTTCTGGTCTCGCACGTTGGCCGAGGCACGTTTTCAGCATACTTCGTCTGCAAATGAAATCAGAAACTAAATATCACTGACTTGTAACGACGATGATTAACATATGTTGGGCAGACGGCTCCTTGGCCTGAACACACCAAATAAAAATGTGATTGTCAACTATGAGTGAGATAGGCCACGAGAGAGAAACAAAATCGTTCTAGGGTGATGATGGTATGCACACAGTTTTTACTTGAAATTCCGGAGAAAACATGTCTGACACAGTGCCCGACTTTGATACCAAACACAACAGAACGGTGGTAGGATCGTGCCAGGCGGGTCCCATACGAAACGCTACGCTGCATAAGTCGCCAGCATTACACGTTCTCAAGATTAATGAAACAGCTTTTTTGAAAACCTAACTTTGCAGTGCTTGCACATACCGTCGTGGTAAACCACTTCATTTCTCTTGTTTTGTTACACTGGACGCACGGGCAATCGGAAGTCACCTATGCTTGATGGTTACTTTGGCCATACCAGCTACGATATACATGTACCGTGCTATCTTACAGTTAAGTGGCTAGATCCGCTATGATAAAGATACACCAACTTCGGCGATTTTTATTTCTAGTGCACAGATATGTACTGCGTTCTGATCTCACCTCTCGATCTCGTACCTTACTCATCTTTGACTGGGAACAACGGAGATGTGATAATCGATCAGTACGAGACATCAACAATCCACTGCGATGTTAAACAAAACGACCGATACAAATGAACGGTGATGTCCGTGCCTGTATGCTGGATGTGCACATGTACAGGAGATTGCGTATATTAACGGATATGACTGACGAAGCGTGAAGGAAACAATGCAGGTACGGGTAGGCCTATACGTCTAGCCGAAAGCGACATCACTGAATTGGCACTATGCTTGTAATTTCAGAGGGCCTGGAATTTACGAATTGCAAATCCCGCCTGGTAATGGCTGTTTGGCCTCAAAGTCCATCAGGGCTTTGAGCGTGTATTTTGTGTGTATCTTTGGCCTTGGAAAGCCTTGGTGTCTCTCCATTCCCAGCCTCGTTGACATCTGCTCAGCAACCACACGCCCACGTCATCGGATGTGAATTCCGGCACTCTACCGTTTGAAATTACTGAAATTCATTTTCCTGCTTCGTCGAGAGGAGGTAGCCGTGTTTGGCCTTAATCAAACATTGCAGTTGTCCTGAACAAGTCACTCGGGTCAGTTTTCTGCTGTACTGAGTGGGTACCATACCAACGACACAAGCTCCGATGTTGGCTTTCCACAGTAGGCTACGTAAAATTTCATGTGTTTTCTGTGTTTCAGACACATTTTGGGCTGCACGAAATCGCACACTTTGATCTGTCTGCACTCAACGAATACATCAGTACCATGGTAACTGAAGAAATTAATTAAGAATGAGTTATCCACGACTTGAAATTGACATGTTACATGTTCACAACCACAGGCTGAATGGTACAGAAAGGTGCTTCACCTATGTGCTTCCGTGACAAGTACTGTACTGTTTATAAAATTATAAACCATATGGCGCACGTGCAGCATGTTCGGTCGTACTTTCGATGTTAATCAGACAGTCGTCGTATTTCTCGGTAGACAAGCAATATCGCACTTTCCACATGTCAGCTCGCCTTTGTTCGAGAGCTTAATGTGACCCATTTCCCGCCAGCAATTTGTGCTGCGCTAAATGGCACCCCACTACTCGGTAGCCGTAGCTCCGTGTAGAGGTTTTGCACGGTAGCCATCTTGTAGGGCAGTTCTTTCGTTCTACATGGAAACCTCCTTTGTGCATACACTGTGCAACAAAAGCATCGGTCTGCAAGGTGGCAGCCAAGTAAACCGTCTAAAATGTAACCTGATCCCCTGTACCTCTCTGACTCCTATGAAATTCAAAATTAATGCTCTTCGCACCTTCATTTCCTATAACCGCATGGTCCGATGGTAAACCAGGTCACCCTTGCATCCGGTACAACGGATGTCAATAATCAACACGGGTGTCGTGGAGAAAGGTGGATGCCTGCCCCTTCCCCAGAAAAAAATAATACAGGCTAGTCGAACTGTAAAAGCGAAAGAAATGAAGAAGATTTGAAAGGGGATGAAAATCAACAATTTGCTTGGAACAAATCTAAAAATTAGCCCCTTCAACAGTTTGTTACTAATAAGTGCTTTGCCCCGCCCCAGAAACCCCCCCCCCCCGATAAAAAGTGCTTCGGTCCTAGGACAAAACTCCTGGTGACGCCCGTATTCACCGATGCAAAACTGTGAACACGGCGCCAGATAGGCATGTAGTCTCTAGGGCATTTCTTCCACTCTGCAACACTTTCTCAAGCCAACTGCATGAATGTATGGGCTCTTGGGCGTCAAATACCATCGAAGAATTGCACCTTGAGTTTGAGCACGTGTGCGTATGCGAGTGCCGTTTAGCACCAGATTCGGTAACGTGTCACATACCTTCAGAGGGCGCTATCTCTACGTCTAGTGACGTAACCGTCATTCGCAGCTGGATTTGCTGGGCATGCAAAGCGCATTTCCAATTCATTCGGCGCATAGTGTCTACGCCTTAGATGTACATGTGAAAGAACTCGTGTTCCAAACTTTTAACAACAGACATGTGCCGAACAAAACGTATTACTGCCTTTACTGGCCTCAGAAAGTCTCTTTTGATCCCACGGAGGAGAAATGACAAGATTTTTGTATCTAAAATGAAACATTATGGACTTCTCCGGGGTGTTCGAATCAACTACGAGGAGGTCCTTCGTAACCAGAATACGTGTATGGATAGTGACTGTCAGGCGCTAGCTGGTGGCTCCCATACGTGTCTGTGCTATTTCATTCAAGCCGTAGCCTTGGAAGCAGCCTTTTTATGCAGGAACCACGCAGTACAAGACAGTGTACCCTAACAGTATTTGCACAGCATACGTCAACGACGTCTTAACACGACCAGGCACCAGTCTATCATGCTCCTTGAATGCCAGATACTGGGGTATTTTGACTTGCTGACTCGTGGAAAGTCGATTTATTCTTAACCTAATTAAAGCGACTGTGTGCTCCCTTAAAAGGTTGCGGTGTACGTCACGAAGCCGACCCCCGTCCCTAGCCCTTTAAACTATATGCAAGACAGATATTTTGATCGACTTCCTTGTATGGCTAAACTGATGCTGTTTCGCTCAGTGATGCGAAAGAAGATGTGAAAGTATGAAGCGTGGAAAACGGTGTGACGAATATGCATCTTGATGCCATGCGCTTCACGATGCACGACGCACATTGCGAACTACGCAAAGGGCATACACCAACAGAGGCGTTGAATGGAAAGACCCTCGATGGAGATGACAAAAAAAATTCAGATACTGATCCACACAGAAAATGACATGTCGTTTAAAATAAAAAGGACTAATTTTATACACCCGCAAAAACTCACGAGGACAAAAGCGTCTTTTTTTTAAATTGTGTTTCTACGTCAAATCAAATCGATTCCTGAGAAAAAGTGGTGGTTGGCCGAACTGGAAGGAATAAAACAACAATATTATATACAACGTCCTGGAAAATATGAGGGGCAGAGATGAGAGAATAAATAGAAATAAAATTTGTGGGAAATTAAGGCGACTAAACGCATACTCTGTATTATTAAGTGGCACAGGCGAGAATAAAGACCTCCTCTGGTAGACTGTCGGAAATCGATTTTCATCTCTGGGCATTCCTCACGGGAATGAAACACAGCAGTGATCCTGAATTCAGTTTGCCTTGCTCGGAGCGGACTGGCAGACGAAGGCCTCTCACTTCCCCCAAAGGCGCGACCAAGAAATTACTCCTCGTTGCCACGGCAACATGCATTACTTAGCAGAGTCTGATGAAAACTCGGTGTCAAGGCCACAGCGGGAAATTATTGACAAGCGTTCACTGCGATACAACCTGGTAAACCATATACTTCTGAAAAAAAAATTCCGACACGGCTTTTTTGTCCCACACTAAGTCTTATAACGCAACACCGAACCTTTCAGGAACTTATGTAAATTTTCGTGCTTCTGAAGGGACCCCAGCGCATTATATGCAGGCGAACTACTGTAACCTCGCGGTCCGTATTTCTTGATATTGCAACAACGAAATCCCTTTTTTAATTCATAACTCTAAGTGGAGAAAGCCCCTGAAATATTAAAATCGTCCGGTCGCTTTACCGGTTAACCTTGATGTCCGCTAGTGGATAGTGCACATTTTCACGGTTGGAATGATCCTTCTTTCTCTGAGGGTGTCAGACAGAAAGGTAACGAGAGAAGGGACATTAGTGGACTTTTCCTCAAATACATGTACCAATTTCACGTTCTTTAATCTAAATGAATGACATCCGAGTCGGTATAATCACGATGCTCCATCATTGGACGCCCCATATATATATCTTGTCGAAATACTCGAAACGGCGTTTAAGTTGTGCGGATGAGAAAGGAGTTGATACGGCAGAACTGTGCCTATTGAGAAACTTAAAAAGTTCCTTTTAAATGCTTTGAGTAGTGCGTCCCCGTCAGTGTGACGACATTCTCAAAACATCATAGGTTCACTTTAAATGAGCCGAAAAAGATTTTTCCTGAGTTCTTTGAAATAACAGCTAGCATCGTGTGAAACTTGTTCAAGCTTGCTCGCCGTGTTGTGACAAGTGCCGTGAACACAATTAATTAACGTGCACCAAACGTAGTGTTAAGCCGTGCATTAGACATGTATACGGTGCCTGTGAACTGTTAGTGTGACGTCATCAGGATGTTGGCCTCTACAGTACCGAAGTGAACACGCCACGTGCATAATCATGTAAAAAGGCATTAGCCCAAGAACATTTTCGTGATGTGAAGAAATGGCATTCACTGCAGCTTTTGTACAAAAGTATTGAGTGATTCTCTGTGTAGAGTTCCTTTGCCCTGGCTATGCAAAGTCATTACTCTCAATCAGACAGGCTCCGGCAACTTAGTTCAGTTGGGGGTTGAAGACCGTTTGCTTGACAACCGTGGCCAATTCGTTACTTCGCCGTGTGCTGTAGTGTGCTTGACGCACCATCCTGTTCGTCAACGACAAGGCCGCGCAGACGAGAGGTCGTTACGAGGTCGCTAAAGCCGGCAGGAATAAAACGCATTCCTCGGGCAAGAATCTTGCTGAAACATTTGTAATATAGCACACCGCTGAGCCAAAGCTTATATCCACTTCGGAAAAAATGCAGGAAGGTTGATTTTTCAAGTTTTGACATGCCCCATGATGCCCCTGTATAAGTTAAGGATCAGGTTCAGATTTCTGATAGAAACAGGTCAAAATGCAGTGGCGTGTATAAGAAATCAGGTACTTTGATGATTAAGGAGACCCTCAGAAAGGAATTGGTACAGAGGGATGAATCGAGCAATCGTATCATTGCTAACATTGCAACGAATTGTACCGTAAATAGGAAGACTCGGTGCATCAGATATGCACAAGAAATTTAATAGGCATCCTTTGCACAAATTCCCAGCTGATTAATTAGTAAAGCAATAAAACATGACTAAAATCTCGCTGCATTCCGCTAACTTGAAGAGCAACCTTGGAATATTTTATGATAGCTGGGCTGGTCACGTGACAGCATCTAATCGTTGTGTTCATCATCCGGCCGAGTCACATTTGAATATTCAACATTGCCCTCGGGGTTTTTGTTTACAGTATGCAAAAATCCTTAATGTGTGGGGAGGAAAAACGAGAGAAGTCATGCAATCGTCACAAACCACTGTCGAGGGAAATCTTAGATCGGCCAGATGAATTCTCAGCAATATGACAGCCGTATCCAATCAAATAATACAGTAATATTTGTTCTTACTGACAGAAAAAATACCTGCTTTGGTAAAGCGAAAATTTCCGAGGTGACACTGAGAAAAATGAACAGCACACAAATCACACACAAAAGGTAATTGGAAGCCACAACGTATACCTACCGTCGACATTACGTGAGTCTTACATCTACGTCGGAAGTCACGTATAAAATTACATCCATGCTTTCTCCCCGATCAGTCTCCCCCCCCCTCGCTGGACTGTAAAAGTGAGGTCTTTACCCCCCGGGGTATATTTTAATTAATTTTACACAACATCTTCTCGTGCGCCTGAGGAAAAATGAATTATTCGGTGTAAATGCCTCTCGCAATATCTGTCCGGGCGGGAGTGAGGCGCATGCAATCATGTTCAGCCTTCGGCTGACGTACCTTTCGGACTACGTTGAAGACAGCCTGGCGCGCCGTAGCACTCAGGGCAAACGACTGACCAACATTCCCACTCGCATACGATAATTATTACGCTGTTCCTTCCGATTATGAAAGTGAGTGGAGCCCTTGATGTGAGTTTTAACATTACTCCATCAATGTAATTTTTAAAGTAGAAATTCAGCTACTTTTTTTCTCTCTTCAGGCGTATAAAATGTCTAGAAAGAAACATATGGCAAATTCCCTGATCTGTTTCCAGCTATATTATTTCAAAATTAAATACATTCAGAATGCCAGCAGTAACTAAAAGGCAATTGTTTAGATTTCAAAAATTTGATTCAAAATTCAGTTGAATCATTAGGCCTAATTTTGTACCTAAGTCTTGAAAATTTTAATGACAGCATTCCACTCTAGATTTTTCTTTCCTGTAGGCTCTATCATTAGCCCTTTAACAGATCTGACAAAGAGAATTGTCTTCCTTTGATTTTCCTTAGATTACAAACTGCATTGATCAGAACTGAGAAAAATTCTTCTAAAAAGAGCTAAAGTTCATGCTCCATGTTGGCTACAGCTTTCTGCTTTATTTCATATGGAAGTCTCATCATCAAGATTTCAAAATTTATCTCGTTTTCATTTTTCGTGTCTCCTTTAAAAAAGGTCACAAATATATTATCTTTTATTTTTTCTTACATTGGAACCTCACACAGAAGCACTCGTTAATCGTAATATTGCCCAAAATGTTGGTTGCAAGACAAAACACGCATACATGTAAGCCACATGATGGTCTATTCGCAGAAGCAATAATAACACCGAATCCGAAATTAAATAAATAAAAAAAGCCACTCAAGATCGATCCAGGACAGCTGTGTAAAGGAAGTTTAGTTAGATAAATAAATAAACTCACAAATTAGTATTTCTATCAAGGAGTCGAAAATCAAGCCCACTTCTCGATTAGGCATGAATTTGAAAATCATTAATTGTACATGTGCACTGTCCGATTTATCGATTTCAACGGTGACGACAAATATTTCGAGAGCACGGGGTAACACGATTTTCGACGTTCATGAATGCAGACATCAACCGCTTGCAAAATTACAGGCGCTGAATGACTGAACAAAACTCAAGAATTATGCTAATGCCTTGCGAAAGAAATGTTATCACGAGACGGTGGTAATTACACTGCGTTACACGGCCTAAGCCGACTCAGCAACAAAGGGGAACGGTATTCTTTACACGGGGAATTTAATTGTGCGTCCACACAATGCCAACGTAACGCTATATGCCTACCTTATTATGCGCCATCCGTCACACATCGAGCGGAGACATGTTAAGAACCACTTGAATCGGTAGCAGGCGCGATGGTTTGTAGTCTTCCGTCTGTTGCCTCTAGCTGCCGGGTAAATCCGTGTTCAAACGAGCAGGAGATCTTATCTTAACGCGGTCTAAGTCTTATCCCGAGGACGTCTTGTACTCTGCTATGATCATCTCCGCCATGATGACTATTTTCCCTCCTCAGTGATGGTGATGATGATGAGAGTCTTGCGTTGTGCGCGCGTGTTGACGTTGAGTCTCTCTGACCTTCCTGAGCGAGTGCCTACATGCCAGGCCCTAATTCCATGCTCGCATGCAACACGCAGTGCGCACCGCTGTTTCTTCACTTTTAGACCCACCGTCTCCCCACATCATCGGAGAGAGCTCCGCAAACCGTTGATCGACGGGTCCGCCGAGGTCGCTCGTGCGAAGCGACGCTCACGATATCGCCTGGCTCGCGCTGTATGACGTCACCACCGGGAAGCAAAGAGGAGCACGCTGACGTCTGAAGACGCCATTCGGTCACATGATGTCCATGAAACTGCGTTCATTGATTTTGAAAAAAAAAATGTGACTGTGAAAAAATCAAATCTTAAACCACTTCGAGATAAATTCTTTTCTTTTACTAAATGTCTCCTGAAATGATGACCGACACAGTATAATCATATTCCCACGGGAACACACGAAATCTCGCAGTTCAAACAACTTACTGTCTCAAACATATCTCACAGTATTGCGTTTGTTAAATGTCTTTGGCAAACTTTAATTCAAGCACTGGGTGATTTTAAATATCTTCCTATCTCTCAATGTTACAACAGTTTCATTGTTAACAATTTCACTGTTTAGTGTTGGCAGGAATTCTTAATATGGAATGAGTATTATTCCAGGCAAGACTGTTTCCAAGATTCACAAATATCAAGATTTTCATCGAGCAAGATTTCACCGAACGCTTCCGCCGCTTCCAGGGTCACTGGTTCTGCTGATGATGCAAGTGTCCATGAGCCAATTGGGGCAGTTTCCGGCGGTGTGGGTAGCATAGTCGTTGCTCCCCCGGGAGGGCGCTGTTCGGCGTGCACTTCGGCGGTAACCTCGGCAGAGAATCCTGCATTGGAGCGGCCTCCCTCTTCCCGACGAAATCTGGAAGAAACAGTCGGTGGCGTGAGCAGGAACAGAGGAGGGGGGAGTGGGAGATGATTGTTTTCAGTTGTTACGGGGAAGCTGAGTTCGCCAGATGAATCTTCAGATAACACTGGGGGAGAGGATGCAGGGTGTTCCTGCCTCATTTTATCAGACGGTGTTTCGCCAAAGGCGTCCACTGAGAACGAAACATTTTGGGGCCTTGACTCGTCGTGGCTAATGGCCGCTATAGCTTGGCTGCGTAGCGGTCTGCTCTGAGAAAGTGCAAGATCCCACTCTGGAGGAAGTTTCTCCAAAGCAATAACCGGCACGCTTTTGGTCTCCAGCGAGGCTTTGTCACCTTGGTCTTGGGGCCCCTTGGGTAGCAGTGACAATGTGGTGATGATGTGGGTTGCCATGGTATTGATCTGAGTGCCGCATTGGGTCATGACCTTCGTGGCCTCCATTCTAGCCGCTTTTCGGGCCACTTTCTCCTCAGCTCTTCTCTTTCTTTCACTGTTCCACCAGATGCAGCAGGCGCATTTCTCGATGACGAGGAGATAGGCGCGCTCACTGAATACACAGTAGAAGACAACGATTAGCAGTATTGCAACAAGAAAACTCGAAAAGGCGACTGAGGTGACGGCTACCATGTAGACATTCTCTCCGTTGAAGTTCCACAGAAAAACAGCCACCAGACCCACATTCTCTGTAAGTATGATGGTGTGATAGAAAGCACTCATGGCCAGTGCGTGCCCAGGTTTCAGGTTTAGAAAGCAGAAGACGTACGCGTACGAAGTTGCAACGTCCCGAAATCTGTCACTGCAATCTTGGTCGCGTGTAAGGCGGTGCTGAACGTAGGTCTGGATTCTTAGCCCTGCGAATGCGATAATCCATTGCGTGGCTGCTAACAAAAATATCATCCACGGTTTGACAGCTGCAAAAGAGGCTAAGCTGACGACACGCGAGACCAAGAGACTTGTCATCCACACGAAGCGCGTCCAGTGGCGGGCAGAGTTCTTACTTTCGTGTGGAGATTTCTGTTCGGTTGGAGGGTTCGTTTCTTCAACAATCGCATCCAGGGCAACCTTGGAACACTTTTCAACATTTTGAGCTTCTGCAGAAGGTTTAATACTTTTGCTGCCTGCATTCTGCGAAGAATGAGCGCAAGAGCCTCGACGTTCGTTATCTGTGTTCTCCAACTGTTTCTCGACCTCTCTGCTGAAGATACCGAGAGCGGGAAAATCCACCATGTTACCTTTTAGACCGCCATCTTGCGAGGTATCGGTGGTTTCGTGGGAAGATGGCTTCCTTTTCCTCGTCAGGCGTATCACCTCCTCCCGGTAGGAACTCAGAATTAAGGCAGCCGAGAGGACTGAGGCGCTTGCACTAAGCGTCAAGATGAAAAACTCCTTCCTCGCAGAGAGCATGAGGTACACGTCGAGAACGGAAAGCGGGAGGTCCTGAAGGAAAACTGGAACGAGGTGCAGAAGGATGAGGTTGGCGAACTGGCTGGAGGCCGACCCGGAGAGCGCCTTGGCAAACCGCCATAGGGGTCCCAACTGCAAGAGGTGACACGCCAGGCCTGTCCAGTCCAGCCCGGAGTCGTCTTGCGGAGACGAGGCGTTGGTGCCTCGGCGGTGCCTCAGCAGTAAAACCCACGAGATGCCGTTTGTGAGCAACCAGCTGACGACGATCAGGAGAATGGTGAACATGACAGGGACTGAGTCGTGGTCATCGTTGAAGCGAGTGCAGGCAACGACGATGTGTAGGACTGGAATAACGAGGTCCAGAAAAAGTTGAACTATCAAAATAGATCGGAGACTTGTCATAATTGTACAATTAACATTCATGCACAGCCCCCTCTAACTCCAAGTGAAAGAAATGCAACTCTAAGCCAGGCTGAGACGTATGACGTAACTACCGTAAACTTTACTCCAAATCAGCTGATACAGGGCACAGAGTAATGTGCCGTTTCTGAAGCAAACCATGAACAGCGAAATTCTCTGAATACTTGTACACAATAAATAATTCCTTCTTTTCCCTTCGGTGACACAACGTTAAATGAAATGTGTCTCTTAATAATATATCCCGCGCCTGGGCTCCATAAAGCTTGAGATAATTAATATTCAATCCAAAGTGAAAAAAACAATACCACCCTTGGAAACAAAAGATCTTAAAAACGAAAGTGGCCTTCATGGAAGGGATGGCCATTGTTATTTTTTTCAAGTTCAACGACACGTAATAAAATGAACGTTTTGATAGTGGACCGCGCTCTTCCGTCTATGTAGATGGTATGGAATTGGATTTAATTGCGATATCACTCGAGCGTGCTTTCGTTAATTACTATTCTACTTTTTTTCGGAATATCTTTGGCAGCATCAGGCAATTAATGAATGGCAAAATCAGTCATTTCGATCGCGACCTCCGTTTGTGTCCCACTGTGAAAAGTTTGAACATTGCCAAAAACTGATGTTGACTTAATTTATACAAATGAACATATCAGCACATCACACAGTGTTTGAAGAAACAGCAGCCCCGGTTTCTACATCTTTATACATAAGTTGCAGTCAGCTCCTAGCTTGACATGAGAGAAAGCCCTGATATTAAGTTTCCCAAAATCAACCTTAAACAGTCCACGGGGCATAATAACCGCCAAAATCAGCCTTACAACTCCAGGGGTATAATAGTGGTTTAATGTTAGCGGTTCACGTGGGACGATTCGGTATTTGGAACAATGGTTGCGTAATTAATCATCTGTGAATTGCATCATATGATTGGACGGGGGAAATGATAAGGGCAGGCCAAGATTTTTTTTCCGAAGGTTGTCCCCACTAGAGCGTCTGGTATTATTTTTGTCCACCAAGCCGCGCTCTAGGATCGCAGCTCATGACAACATAAAACAGCCGTCGCAAAGGCCTAAACTTTTCCCAGAAAGCATTTCGTTCTAAAGTGTCAAAGGTCAGTGAGAACAACTTGACAAACTTCCTTTTCATTTCCGCGTTCGGGTCCCAGATGATAATCCCCCAAAATTTCACCCTGTTTTTGTTCAGTCCTCCCACGTTTGGATAGTTCTTTCGTAGACGGGAACACCGCACACCAGATCTGTGTGGATATTTATCAGGTAAGTGGAGCGACGAGGTGAGAAATTGTATGCAGTGTGGTAAGTTAAAGTAGTGATGATAATTGATATAGGGGCCGAGCCGAGGCGGCCTAATGCATCATACGAAACTAAGGCTAAGCCAAGCGCACAACCGATTTGCAACCTGTCATTAGCTGCCGGATGCACGAATGTACAGTTGGCCAATGGCAAGATCGTACATGTATCGATAATGATATAATTCATACATTTACATCAAATATTTTACATTTAGTGTCCAAGCTACTGTTGTACTTGTACTTTTGTAGGTCAACTTGACCGTTTGTCAACTCGACTCCTGACCAACTCGACTGTTGAACCAACTCGTCCGTTGACCAACTCAACTGCATGATTGATATACATGTACATGTAACTATAACTCTTTCCTTGAAAAATAGATATTAAAAGGGGAAAAATAAAGATCGGATCAGTTCCGGATCGCAAAAATTATAGATGCTAATTTTGGCTCAATGAACCTACGAGATCAACTAAAATGCCATCAATAATTGAACTTGTGCCAATGAAATACTCCAAAATAATTTTCCCAATTTGAGAAGAAGCACGCACAAACGAACCCCCAAAATCTGTCCCCATGCTGTGCGCATGCACAGATCACATCATGCAAAACAAATTACACGCGCGATCCAGAACTAGGAAAAATGCATTTCCTATGCATCCCTGTTGCACCATTTGCACAGTCGAGTTGGTTGAGAGTCGAGTTGGCAAACGGTCAAGTTGACCTGACACCCCAAGCTACGGCATACATTATAACATAGCTATGTACAATCTGCCATAAACACATTGTGGCTGTTTTGATTGTGCCAACTTACCTTTCCATCACAGTCACATGAATTTGTGCAACCAGATTTCATTCATTCCTTCTTGGTGAAGTTAGATGTCAGATGCGGAGGTTTATTCACCTAAAGTGTACACCGGTATGTCCTCATTAAAATGGTGAAATTCTTGAGCATTTTGCCAAACATGCCCATCCACCCTACAGAATGTCCACAGCATCACTGAGCATGTAACTGGCAGCTGTCATAGCTGTGTGATAGGGTTGACCAATCACATTCCAGTACACAGCATGTATGAAATTTGGTTGCACAAATAGCCGTGATTGAAGGGTTAGTTGGCGCAATGTAACCAAATTACATGTATATGAACTTAATCTGGGAAAATTCATGTACAAACTTAGGCACAATTTACTCCCAGTTTTATTTCTTGTTTTAGTTTAGCATAGTCATTATGTACACTAGAAAGTGGCACCTTTTGATTTATCTCCACGATTCATGGTATTGTCTTGGTCAGTAGTAAAGCAGTACTTTTACCTGAAATACCGTTCACAGTGAGTGCGATTTTATTTAGCTTTAAACATTCCAGTTCATAAATCTTGAGTTAATTTGCCTGATATGAAGTTCAACTTAAGCACCATTTTCAAAATGCACTCAAACATAAGTCTACATGTACGTGTAAGAAAATAATTTATGTGTACGTAATTTGATATTTGAGTTGAGGTACATGTACTTGTACATTAAAAATGATTTATCAGAATTTAGGCCCCCCAAAAAGTAGTTCTACTTCTGATTACATGCCTCCCAAAAATAGGGTCGGTACATGTACATGTAGGTTGGAAAAATTGGTTGGAAAAAAATTACATGGCTGCGTAGCACTTTAGTCGTGCAATTTACACTCTCATGCATCTATACATTTTAACACACTAGCTGGAGGCTACCGCACTTTTGAAGTCAAATTTTGACGTAAGAAGTACATGTACATGTACGTTGCAATTCTTTATCCTACTTAAAGTTGTGAACATGTAGTGCTTTCAGAGTTCAAATACGTGTACACCAATGTACATGTATTGAGGTTCATTGAAAACCAAATTATTTTTAAAGCTCAGCAAATACATGTGCATAAATACACATGTGTATGTGTTCCTGTGTCACATAAAATTTTAAATACATATACAAGTCTGAACCAGAAGGAAAGAGCATGCAAAATGCAATATGCATCCTCCAAAAATTGCCACCGTTTGGAGAGTTCTAAAAATAATGTTAGGTTCAAAACAGGCAATTCAGAATAATGCGCCTCCAAGAGTTTGCAACACTTTGACCAATCAGTGCACGCGAAGTCTGTCGACCCTTTCCAAACGCGCACTGGGTCGACAGATATCGGGTGCTGTGATTGGTCGACGCGTTGCAAACTCTTGGAGGTGCACTATTGTGAAAGGCCCCTATTGCTAGATGGTGCTACAGAGGAGCAGATAATTTGTCATTCTACTCTCAAGGAAAAAAAATTCTTTGAAATCGGAAGGCCAAGCTTCCCAACCAATCGCATAGCTTTTTGCATACCAGTATACCGGTACGTACATTCGTAGCTCTGTCAGTTGAATGTTTGGCAAAATGTGCGACATTTTTGTGTTTTGTACACGTAACTCTTTTGATGTGATCCGTCAGTCGTTGTGTGGACATACATGGATCCTTTCAGGTATATTTGATGTGATCCGTCAGTCATCGTGTGGACATACACTGTACATGGATCGTTTCAGGAATGCCAGGCAGTTACATGTGTACACACATTTTCCTACCTTTTGAACAAATTACATGATTCTCAGTGTACCATATGACCATTGGGCAATCAGACTTGTTGCACACGTCCACAAATTCAGCGAATCACAGGTTAAAAATGCATGTTGGGGCAGTATTTGCGAAAATATCCAAAGCTGTGTCACTTGCATTTGACACAGTGAGCATCATTGGAAATTGCACAGTTTGGCCTTTTTTCTTCAAAACGACAGCATACCAGAAGGAATAAGTTCACGAGGAGTTTAGCGCCGTTGCTACATTCATTGGTCTGTTTTTCAGTACCGGTACCTTTAATTTGTCAACCTTATCACTCATCTGTTTTGGGGACTTGACCCTTGATCTTGTCATTGACATGGGAATTCCCAGTACACCTACGTGTACATGTACTAGGGGATTACATGTACAGTGTACATGTACATGTCGACTGGAGGAAATGCTCCACATGTATACTTGGTTTGAAGTCCATGTACATACCGATACATGTACATGTACATGTACATGGCCCCTTCATCGGCAGTACATGTATATGTGTACGTACATGTATACTACATGTACCGGTACATGTACATGCATACGTCTACATGTATGTACGTGTACATTATGTTTACATGTACCAGCACTTAAGAATGAGCAGAACAATGGATTCAGCATAAGGTACATGTACATGTATTTATCTGGTTAGCTTGGTCTTCATTCCAGCAGTCGCGATGGTGGTACATGTACACTTGTTGAAACATGTTTGTTTAAACCTGTTTTGTAAGTTGTTCTGGGTCCAAATGCCCCTTTGCAAAAAACCAAAAACAAGGGAAATACATGTACATGACGTACCATGCAAAGGGTTTTCAGAACTTGAGATCGGAGAACTTTTCAGAAGTCATGTGCGTGCATGTGCAGCACCCATTTAATCTGCATGGTTTTCCCATTATCTTCTCCTCTGAGCAATAAATGCAGCGACTTCCTCCATGACCGAGGTGAAATCCTGCTCAGTGCTCAATGGACGATATCCTGTCTACACGCCTTCATTTCAGCTTAAAGGAGCGGGCAGATTGCTGTGGGAACATTTGATGTGTTTCAAAATTCGGCACTACCAGAAAAAAACAAATTAAAAAAAAGAAAAAAGAAGTAAACATAACAGAGTTCACTGTCAGCCGTCATTATTAGGCTTTAACTGATTAAATTCATGCATTTGAAGTTTGTGTCTTGACACTTCTCAACCTCCTCATAATGGAAAGATTGAAAATGTTTTCACATTTAACCCAACGTGTACATGTACCGTACAAGTCCAAAAAGCTGGAGGCATTTTTGCGAGACTACTTATCCAAACTGCTGGAAAGGCAGAATCAGACTTGGCACTGACCACATTGGACATGATACATGTACATGTATGTCTTGAAACAAACTTGATCTATGAATTATTACAGAGCCAAACAGCAGTTTGAGAAGTATTTCATCTCAAGCAAGGAAATTCTATTATTGGATATTTTGATATATATTTTGATGTTCACACATTTCCTTTGCTTAATTGTGATACCGGTAGTTAAAAAACTTGGTTAAATTTTCATTTTTCTTGCACTGTGAACACTCCCTTAAGCCCGCTCTGTGTTGATGGTTTCCTTGACTCTGCCTGTTCCTTTTGCTATGGAAACCCTCACTCAGAATATGCCTCAAAAACTGTTTTCCAGAAAGAGGGTAACCTTGGCGTGGACCTGGCTTAGTCCACACAAAGGTTTGCACAGCCTCCATGATGTGGACCTCTTTTGTTTGTTGATCCACGCACACAAGCATGTACATGTACGTTTTGTACAGTGTGTATTGCTGATCTGACATTTCCTGTTTTAATTTCTGGACAGCATTGTACAAACCGGTATGGCAAATAGCTGTGGATGTACATGTACTACATGTACAGTACAGTTGCACGTGTACCTGAACGTGAACATGTACAGGTACATGTACAGGTGCAGGTGTGTCCTGTTACTGACTGTGAATGTACATGTAGTTGTCGTTTTGCTATTGTTCAAACTTCATCTTCCCGTTCTACTGTTTGTCAACATATATTCTTTTTCAAAAATAGATACATAAAATGTACCTGTAGCAGGAATTTACAAAAATCTACTGACCAGGAACACAGTGTACATGTACATGTACACAGCAGTCAACTCGACAAATTGCATGGGGGATGGGTACTCAAAACGATAAATGTGGGCGACCAATTTTCTCAGCTCAACAATTTGTGGTAAGCGAGGTTGTTGTGCAGGAACATCTGAGCATAATTTTTGCCCTCTTGGTCGTTTCATGTGTGTCACGTTTCACTGGGGAAAAAAAAGAAATGAAGACAAATAAAAGAAAACACAGGAAGTGACATTATGCCGGTTCTCAATATGCAGGGAAATTCTGGAGATGTAATCACATCCACTTGGTATGTCCTGATATCCTGTACAAATACCGGATGTGTGGAGTTTTCATTGTACCGTACGTATACGTGTACGTGTGCTGGGACTGACCATGTACATATGAATCAGTGGATGCATGTTCATGTACAAACCTGTATAGGCAAAGGATGTGTTTGTTGAAGGTTTCCCAACTTGTTTTGCACAAAGAAGCGTAGGCGAGCTTAACACTGAAGTTGAATGAGTTACATGTACATGGACTGTGGAATGTGATTCTTCTATCCGACCATCTCGCAGACAGTGCAGCCTCGGTGAATCGCATTCCTGCCATCAGCATGGGATGCATCAACAGCAAAGAGGAGGGCAGCAGCTATCGGGCGGATTACAAGGCCGACAACACTCACAGCGGTCCTGGCCTGACAATAGGGGGGCCCTCGCCTGGCATGACCACCGGTGGAGTCTCCGATCGGGCACCCAAGAACGATATGTTCATCCCTACTCCCAACAAGCCCGAGCCGAGCAGACCAGGTGAGGTGCTCTTCCCTTTTTTATGGTGATATTACATGCAAGTCAGAGTTGTCCTGCGGACTTCACCCTCCAGGCTCCAGTCCTCCAATTTCCAAGAAACTTTGGTTTACGTTTTCCTTACCGGGGTAAAGGTTAATCTTGAAACCCTCGTCTCTCAACCCGAGGCTTTAGAATCCACCGACAGGTTTTTTTGTTAGATTTTACAGAATCAGGGAAGCCAGATAGCCCCGCGACTGTTTCTTTGTGGGGGCCCGGTGCCCCTGGAAAAGTTCAAGTTGAAGAAATGTGCAAAGTTGTATTCCAGCAAGGAGGAAGATTTTGTTGGATTTGGGAATGCTGCAAGTACAAAGTGCTGCTAAGTTTTGAATAAAATAAATCAACGTGGAATGATTTTTTGTGTGTTTTTGATTGCATCTGCGGATTCTGCTGATGTCTCAACTTAAATTATCCTGGTATTCCTGGCCAATGACAATACACCCCAATCTGACTGGTTCATGCCCCTGTTTGTAATCTTCAGATACATACATGTATGTATAATTTGGATTTAAAAACTTTGTATGTGAACCAGTAATGTACAGAGTGCACAACCAGGGTACATGTGTCGCTTTCCTTCCACAGTTAGTTTCGGGTTTCACAAGTCTCAACTTTTATTGTAACGTTGTCTGTTTTTCAAATGTAGTACTGAAATATGTTGCGCTGTATGATTATGAAGCACGGACAGAGGATGATCTGAGCTTCTTGAAAGGAGAGACGCTAGACATAACGAATAACCAGTAAGTGAGATTTGTACATGTAAGGTATGCTGGGACCCAGTCCTAACCGTAGCCCTCCTCAATCCTTCACCTGTTGGAGGACTGAGGAGTGTTAGGGTTAATAACGGCATGTAGACTATTTATGCATTGAGTTGGCACTTATTGGTACATATTCCCATAGTTTTGACCGTTGCGCTGTTGCGCGAATCATGTTCGTGGACATCAAGAACTTTTTGACAATGAAAAAAGTGGAAGTTTGGAAACAATTCATGTTGGCGCGGCATGATGAGAATGCGATCACAGGTTTTGCTTTCGTCGAGCAAAGGGAACGTCGCTTTTTAATTTTGCTTGCATCCTGCGCATGGAGAGGCTCATCAGTGCTGACGAACAATTTAACAGAGGTTTCTGTTCTTGTGCTTGTAATCCTGCGAAAGGACATGCACACATATAGATTGTTGAAACATTCACACTCCTGCTTTCAGTATTTGTTCGCAAAGACACGCTGTGCAGTGCTCATGACGATCAAATTTGCGTGCATAATTACCCAAAGTATAAATAGACATACATGTAATTGTCCATTGTCAAATAAAAATGGACCAAGGTTTGTATTTGTCAATCGGTTTTCAAGTGTCCTTTTTTTTCTGTCATTAGTGACGGTGATTGGTGGCTGGCAAGGTCAACAAAGAACGGTCGAGAAGGATATGTCCCCAGCAACTACATTGCGCCTGTCAAGAGTATCAACGCTGAAGAGTAAGTACTGGTCATCTCTCACCGGTCAGTGCTTTCTGAAAGTGGCACTTGTGGCCTACCGCATTGACCGTGCAAGGTCACCCCCCTTCCCCCTGGTCATTCATTTGTCATCTTGCCAACATGTCATGCTCAAACGAATTCAGATTTTCTTTTTTTTCCCCCGGAGAAGTTTATCTCCCTTGGATACAGTGGTCATTTGATTAAGTTGGGTTTAGTAAGATGCCGAAAGAGAAACTCAAGAGGTTCTAGCAACAATCACATTTACAAATGTTTGTTTCTTGTCTTTCAGCGTTGTTAGTTTTATCACTTTTCAATTATATAAAATCTGTTACTTTGTTTTTTTTTAATTTAAGATAGCATCTCCATGCTTGGACATTTGTAACATGAGCATTTTCCATGTAACAGTAAACCTCAAGTATGACTGGCAGAAATGCTTTGCAAACAAGCCATCATTGCCATCTTCGCCCAGGCGCTTATTTTTTCCTATACATTTTGATCAAACAAGGAAGTGGTGATCAAAAGATCTGCACCGGCAGACCACAGCGGGGGGGGGAGAGTAACGAGCATTCCCATAAAATTCCCCGCTGTACATGTACTTTACACGACCCTGCCCTGGATGGAACAAGATGATGATACCTCACTGGACGGCTTGCTCTCAGCTGCATGGTCACTACGTGGACGCACGGCACACCGCTCTGCGGACATTTTTCACCCCTTGATACCTGCAGGGTGCACCAAATGTACTTGGCCTGCATTCTGATCATTGCACCGAACAATGAATATGTGAACATACATGTAGTTCATAGTTATTTTGTTAATCCCAAAGGAAATTATATCTCTGCGGACAAGCCTCATTAAAAACATACAAAAATTAGCATTCTAAAACCTACATACCCTGAATCTAATTAAAATACAGAATTAATACATTACAAATCATTAATACATTGCAGATCATTAAAAATCAAAGTTCGTCTATTCCCCTTGTCTGTTTCAAATTGCATGCAGCAATGGCCCCAGGGATGAAAGAATATTTATAACGCTGTGTCCTCGTCGTCGGCAGTTGCAGTCTCCCACTTCGTTCGTTTCGTCGCTGGTACACATACATGCAGAATAGTGCTTGATGGCACATACTGTAGCTTTGCTTGGTTGTTTCCCAACCCTCCCAGTGGCGTCATACCGTCTGGATAACATGTCAAAACCTCCTGGCCGGAACCTCTGACGCAAGGCACATTGCCAGAGTTCTTAGGCCGTAAAATATGCCTTTAAAAAACTCTGAGAGGGCTTGATTAGAACAAGGTAAACACCCCCCTATTAGTACCTCTCCCAACATCCCTTGCAAATCCATGAGGAGATTAGGGTTGAAAGTTTTCCAGGATCGAAGCAAGACGAGCTCAACCGCTGTTAAATTACATTATGCTGTTGTTCTGTTGAAAGGGGCCACTTGTGCCATGGGTTTGTGCCATTGTTTTCCAGAACATGAATGCATTCCAGGGGATTATGCAGAACTCTCTTTGAGAAATGCATCTACATGTATATATATTAACCCTAACCCACCCAAATCCTCCAAAATTCTTTTCTGCGAAGTGGAGGAATTTGGAGGATTCAGGGTGTATGGAAAAATTGCATGGCTGATTTTGAAGGCTGCCATACGAGAAGGTCTTGGATTAGACCTTATCTTTTCTGTACTTAGTCTGGCACAAATTCAGCCTGATATTTCTTTTGAATCAACTGCACTGCTCAAGAATGCCATTCGCACTGCCTCAACATAATGACAGGAATTGCCGGAGGATTTTGACAGATTCGGGCAGTTAGGCACACCTCCAAATGACACTTTCAAGAAATTTTGGAGGATTTGGGCTGAATGCAATTTTTTTCATGTTGAAAATCAGAGGTTTTCGGAGGATTCAGGATGGTAAGAAGTAAAAAGTAGCCTAGTAAAAAGGCCTAGGGGATTAGGGTTAATGATGAAAATAGTTAAGTATTTGTAAGGCATACAGAAATTACAGTACGTACAAAGGATCTAGAATTCAAAGGTGCCAATATATTATCATCGTCCCTTCACATTGGGCTTACAACATCTGAACATTTCCTGAAACCATCTCGGCTGCCTGGGGAATTTTCTAGCCTGATGCTAACATATCAGGCATGAACGGCTAAACATATCCGTCTACATGTACTTGTATCTGCCCTCACAGGTTCCCATTTACTCCTGGGTGGAGAGAGGCACGAACACGTACATGTAGGGGCAAAGTGACTTGCCCAAGATCCTAACATGCTGCCACCAGCTGGATTCGAACCCCGAACCCTGTGATCAGAAGCTACAAACCCTAGGTCACATGCTTCCCTTATTATTTGTATTAAATTATATATATACACATACTTATTCAACTTTGATGCAGCTCATACGGTTCATGTACATGTATATAGAATATTTGTGTTCTGATATTGCATTCTCTCAACTTTTTAAACCACGGCTGAGTACTTCCTGCGACACAGATTTTCCAGGTGTTCAACTCCCTAGCAAAAATGCCTGATTTCCTCTTCTTTTTTCTTCCATCATTTACTGTGTGTGCATGTCCAAAATGGGACAATACATTGCAAGTTGGTCTGTTTGAATTCCCTTCTCTTACTCCCCCCCAAAAAAATACAACTTGTTCAGAAAATAGTTGAAAAGAAAGCGAGTGAAAATTGCAAAAGGGAGAATCTGGACAGAGCTAGTTTGCACTGCATTGCGTTCCACCATATTGGTTTGAATTTCCACATATACCGGTGTGTACAAGTATGTCTACAGACTGTCAGTGAAAGACATTTCCAGATTAGAAAAGGACTTGCGAACAGCACCATGTTTGTTACCGCAATGCAGGCTTCACAGATAGTGTTATCTAGAGTGTCAATGTGATACGTGCAAATCTGGAGCTCGAAACCAAGAAGAAAAGTGACTATGTACCTGTAGCGGAATTTCCATCATTCACTGTACATACTTGTGTGCATTAACAATGTAGGAATTTTTCATGATCCACTAGACCTACATACATGTAAGTTTACATGTACATGTACGTGGATCGTATCATGTTTGCGCAATATGTAAATGTTATCAACAAGGAAGTAAAATGTTCAGCCTTGGCGGCTTATGACAAACTTTGTAGCAGGACTTACATGAAGAGGGCAGCCACATATTATTTGTGGATGCACTTGTATTACAAGGTCAAAGGTCAGTGCATACACCACAAGGAAGTGAGTACACGTACATCCCAAATCAGATCTGGAAAATACAGACCGTGCATTCAGCACACCTACATGTATTGTACAAAGCGTGTATAGAAATGTACATGTACATGCATGCACTTGTTCTTTGTGTGTTTGCAATTCATGTCATTTAGCGGGCATTGTTTGTTGAATTAGGGAATGACAGGTGGGAAAGATAGCTGGAGGAATGGAACCTGATCCACGTGTGGTCCATGAGAATCACACTAGAAATGAATTTTTCATGTAGAATCTGTGATTGTTACTTGGTCGTGATGGTGTCTTAAAAAAAAAGGCAGCCATTGGATGCACCAGTCGGAAAAAATGTGCTTTTTTGTGTTCGATATATATCAAGTTGTTGCATTTTAATTTTTATTTGGAAGCCAGCAAGAAATTGGCATGTATACGTACAGTATCATTATGCAAAGATTTATCAGCAAAGTGCCTTGTCTGCTGGCTTGAGAGATGCAAAAAGAAACTGAAACATCCGATCTCTCTCTCTTGAGCTCTCTTTGAGAGTGTCAAGGAATTATCTGTTCTTGTTGCTTTATTCGGAAATTGGTTTTGAACTGGTCCACTTTTATGGGTGTAGTGTACATGTAGTACGCGGTAGGAACATCAGATGTCAAATTAGGGCACTATGCCCAGTTTCATGGCAGCCAGAGTGTAGAACAAAGCTTGCACAACCACATGCATATGTACATGTACCATATAACATGTGGCATAGGCCACCAGTTTTCGGTAGAATGTGCACAAAACATATTTATCACTTGAGCACTGAGAGGTAACATGTATTACTGCAAGGGCACTCAAGCCACCATTACCTCTTTCTTTCTACCGTGCAATCTACAGGCTAATCCTGGTCAGCTATTGGTACATGTACATGTGCACTTGAATTACATGTACATGTACACATCAGTATTGAACTGTATGAACACAGTCACGTACACAAATGTGTGTATTGTAAATTCACCGTGTTCTTAGCAACTCGGCCACATTTGTACAAGAATTATGCAAGAAGTGTCTGCACCAAGTTAGATCAGTTGAATGTGAAGCTTTACTCTGTTTGGAGCCTAAACTTAAAAACAGAAAAACATGTAAACAAATCCTTACGTCAACTTATGTGTTCACTATTTCTTACATTCTTGCATCAAGAATATTTAATCAATTCCTTGAATTGGGTGTTTTGTGTGACCAAAATAACCAGTATTAACATGTTATATCCAACGTCCTCTGACTTTGATACTGTACAGTGTGTAGCATTGTGCTTCCTGGGCATCAGCTTGTTATTGTTTTGGGATTGGAAAGACCGGCAATGATGCAACTCTTTATGAACTGAGGAATTTCCCTGTTTCTCTTCAGGTGGTACTTTGGTCGAATCGGTCGCAAGGAAGCCGAGAAGAAACTCCTCCATCCTGGTATCGAGCGAGGAATGTTCATCGTCAGGGATGGCGAGGCCACCCCAGGTGCACAAATTATGTTGCTTACTTAGAAAACCTTTGCTCAGAGCAATAATACACCAAAACAAAAACGGCTGAACGCTCCAAGTAATCATATGAAATACATTATAAAGATTACGTCCTTGCTGTCTGTTTATGTTGGTTGTTTTCTTCCAGGAGCCCCTTCATAACACTGCCAACTTGATCACTTTCACTGAAAACGAAATTTTGAAACCGAAGATGACATTTCAACAAAACTGCCCTGTAGGTTCATTTAATACACGTACATGCTCCTTTGAAATATGAGCTGAGTACCAGTATGTCTTAACAGTGCACGCGATGGCACATTGTTCAGGGGACGTTTACCAGCTTCAATGACCTGTCTGCACCGGTTCCTACCGTAGTTTTGGCAGTCTGGCCTTGTTGAGGGCAAATTGTAGGACACAGCTTTGGAGTGCGTTTGAATCTGCTCAAAATGGAAACGGCACTCGGTGGTTTTCTTGCTGCAGGGACATTCTCACTTTCTGTCCGCGACTACGACCCGGTGAAGGGCGACCACGTCAAGCACTACAAGATCCGCAAGCTGGACAACGAGGCAGGATTCTACATTGCCATGCGCAGCCCATTCCCAGTGCTCGCAGAGCTTGTCAAACATTACCAACGTAAGTTTGGGATGAAAACATTCCACAGCAGTTGTTGAATTTGCACTGAGGTTTATCGCTGAGATTTCAGTTCCTGTTTACTTTTCTGTTTGTGTTATGCATTTAACTGTGTACAGAGACATAGAATTTATAGTCAATTAATCCACTCTTTGAAGGCCATGAATTTAAGTGGATAAGAAAACTCTCATATTTCAGGAAAGCAAATTTACATGTTTTATAGATGCTTCTGAGTTTTGTGGTCACTTCCAGCTGGGAAATAGTTTGCTGTTTGTTCCCGATTGATGAAAAAGAAATCTAATTCACTGTTGCAGCATTGGAAATCTCTCAGAAGACATGGTGCTCTCTATTTTCAACTGTTCAGAGTTTTTCCCCTTTTTTTTCGAGAGCCAGTAGCTGCAGCCAGATGGACAAAAAGCGTAAAGCTTACGCATATCTTTGTTTACCGTAAGTAAGTCTTTTCAGGCACTATTGCTTTAGCCTGTTGATTTTTTCTGGCAGACTAGCTCGACTGTACCCATTTTTCTCCCCCCCCCCCTCTGTAGAGGTGGCTGATGGACTCTGTATCAAGCTCACCTTCCCCTGCCCCAAGGAGAACCCCAACACGGTGGGCCTGGGCAAGGACGCCTGGGAAATCCCCCGCGAGTCCCTGACGCTGGAGAACAGGCTCGGGGCCGGCCAGTTTGGAGAAGTTTGGAAAGGTATACTTCCTCTTTGGCCTCTGCAGAAAGTCTTCCCCAGGGTTGCCCTCCTTTGGCATATCTTGTCATGCAGCGGGGTGTTCGGATGCCACTTTTAACCCAACCTCCCAAGATCTTTCAAAATCTGCCATAAGAAATTTGGGAGGCTTTGCAGTGTTTAGGAAAGTACATGTATCTATACCTTTGTGGAATATTCAAATTTTAGGTTGGGGAGTTGCAGATAGAAATTTTTTATAAAAGCAGTCGTCTAATTTGGTTTCTTTTGTAGAAGAATCCTCACCTTTAGGTGGTTGTGCCTTTTCAAAAGTCTTTGTACATTCAACTCCTTCTACATGTTCAAGAAAATGGTGACATATTTCGTCCCAGCTTACTTCCTTGATACACTACCTGACTACAGATTTATTTTCACCTTGGGTTTCTGGATTCTAAAAAGTTAAAAACATTCAGGTTGACTAAAATGTTAAGGTCAATCGTGAGCTGTCCTAAGAAGACAGTCGCAATCTCTGACTACCCGATTCCTTCCCTCCAATCGTTCCAGGGACTTGGAATGGAAAGACCCCAGTGGCCATCAAGACCCTGAAGAAGGGAACCATGACTCCCACGGCCTTCCTGGCCGAAGCCAACATCATGAAGAAGCTGCGTCATCCCAAACTCTGTCAACTCTACGCCGTTTGTTCGGACAAGGTAAGGACCGGGCCTGGTTTTCGGTCAATTTGGGCATCATAGTTTATGTCCTTTTTTTTTTCTTTTGATGAAGGGGACCAGCTTCTTTGGTAACGATGTAAAAGGATTCAGATCCTTTTTGTGGTAACTTGTTGCTTAAGTGTCACCCTAATTCTCAGAGATTGTTCAAACTCAACAAAGAAATTTAGGATGATTTTCTTGAGATTAAGAAGAGTAGCACCCAGTTTTTTTGGCTCCTGATTTGTGGAGATTCCAGTCTATGTTGATATTGTTTGATAAAGTTGATTACTTTGTGAATCACGTTGACAAAGGAGGAGAAAGTAACTTTTCAAAAGATACCAGTTTTGATTCCCCCCCCAAAAAATGGACACACTGTCTTCATTTTGTCTGTCTCTCATCCTCATAAATCTCTTCTTCTCGGAATGCGTCCGGCATCCAGGAACCCATCTACATCGTCGCCGAGCTCATGTGCAATGGCAGTCTCCTGGATTACCTGAAAGACGGGGAGGGACGTAAGCTGAAGCTGCCAGAGCTTGTCGACATGGGCTCTCAGGTCTGTACAGAAAGTCTCCCAATCTAATCACTTCACAAAGCTGCCGTATTGTCGATCAACATATACAGTGTCTGTGTTTGCCGCCTCCCCGAATACCTCAGTTTACAACCTGAGCGCATCTTTCATTCAATCCTGTTGGGTCGATATTATCTAAGAGAGTGAACAGGTTTTTTGGGGGTTCTTTTGGATGGATGATTAGATTGCGTCTGGAATGGCTTACCTGGAATCCATGAACTACGTCCATCGGGATCTGGCTGCTCGGAATGTGCTGGTGGGGGAGAATAATGTTGTCAAGGTGGCTGATTTCGGGCTGGCCAGGATGATCGAAGACACAGAGTATACTGCAAGACAAGGTAGGTTTCTACCCAACCTTCAGCTGTCTCAACCCCCCACATGATCCCCCTCCACCCACACGATCCCCCTCCACACGATCCTCTCCCCACATAATCCCCCTCC